CATGTCCGGTTGTGTGCGCGTGCGTGGGCAGTGTTTTGACCCATTTTACACAAGTGCGTCGTATACGCGTTGTTGCGAGTCCTAAGGGACTTTCCCTGTTTCAACCGTGAACAGGGACTACGTCATAATTCGCGGGTGAAAGTAATAAGCGCAATGCTGTCATAAGGTTTCCGGCAGTAAAAATGCCATGTAAATAATGCCTGAATTGCTTTATAGGTATTATCCATGTGTGTGCATTTTGATCGTATTGCTCATGTATACGTACACTGAAAGTGGAAGTAACAAACAGCTCAGGGTCTGCTATAAACTGATTAGTAAAGTGCTGCATGTACTGTATATAATTTATGGCAGTACATGTAGGGCCTACATGTACATGCACACACACTCATTGGTAATCGAATGCAATCAGTACTAGGCCTACTTGCATAACACGATGAAGTGAAAAATCGTCCATACAAGCGCCTACGGTGTCGAACCTCTTTGAACACTTAGAAATTGAATTGCAGTAAATAAATGAATAACTATTTAGGATTATATCAAGTCATTTATGTACTTGTACTTTCTTGAATGGACTCGACAAATATATCCGGCACTCTAACGCTAAACATAGCAAAACAGTGAAATATCAAAGACGAGCAAGGGAATTTTTGTTGGAAACAGTAATTTCTAATGTGGGCACGCAGAATCAGAAAATCCCTCTTTCGGTAAACAGATTAATGAATATAATAAGGGCGCACTGGTCTTGGCGCATGGGAATAACTGCACTTTGCAAGTGTCTTGGCAAGCAAATTGATCTGTTCTTCCGACTAGTGAGAGAATGCAATGGAGATTAAAATGAACTCATTATTCAACACTAATGCCTACACTGTAAAAAACGCCAGGCAATTTTTTGGGCCCAAGGAAAATTGCTTAATTATTGGGCAAAATGATCAAAACGCTGGGTTAAAACGTAGTACCATAGGGTTATATATAGCTCTACGGGTAGTACAAATAACATTTTCCAAACAAATGTTAGGTAAAATGAGACAAGTTTGTTCATAAGAGAGACAATCAACGCGGTTGGGTAATCCGTCTGCGGGCCAACTGTTAGGCGGTTTACCTGACCCAATATATGTTGGGTAAAATATTGCACATCGTTTTTATTGTGTAGGATAAATTTCAACCAAGGAAGGGTGCCCCCAACTGCCCCCAAGAGCCAACTTCCCAAATTTTAGGAAGTTGTTTTCATCCTTCCTTGGGGTATAAAAAGTTTAACCCGGCCTGCAGGAGGGCAGGTAGTTTTGCGGTGACAGAAACGGGCAGCGGCGCCGGAATATAACGTTACCCATCCTGAAACTGCAGTTTCAAATATTAAGACACTGTACATAGGCGTACATGTACATTGTAATGAATACTTCTAGTTATATTCAACGTATGGATTTTGATGCACAAAAATGCTACTAGTTGTAAGAATAAACAACTTTCTACAAACGTTGGCCACACATAAAAATGGCAGTCTTTGTATGTCAACAAATAACACACAATGTGTATTGTTCTACTTACAATAATGACCTTTAACTTTAATTTTGATTCAAATCAACACGAGTCCACAAGCCAATGCAAAAATGTCTGCAGTTGTATGCCGAGTCCTTCTGAAGATACTGTGGGAAACTGCGTGGACGGGAGACAGGAGGAAGGGACGGACGGACGGACCGTCAGACACATGAAAATATTAACGCAGTATGCCCCGTCCGCTTCACCGGCGGGGCACAATAATCACAGTGGATTCAGCTCTTAAGCGCAACGTTACGCATAGTAGGCCCTTTATACCATTTTTTGTAGTTATACAACAATACCGTCACGGTCGACTGTCTGTTGTGAGCTTACAAAAGGGTCGGCATTCGTTCATTGGCTCTTTTCTGAGCGGTAGGAAATTTCCATGGAATGTTTTTTTGAAAATCCACGGACGCTTTCCGTTTTCCTGCTTGCATCGAATCTCCACCTTATTTACTTTGTCAAAAATACATTTACATATATATTGAGTTTTACCGAATCGAATCTCCACTGTGGTCAAAAGTACAACAGGAATCACGAGCAGGGCGGATGATAGAAAAAATGTTCAACGAATGAGTAATGCCATTATACCAGAAAGGGGCCGGTATTCCCTTTTATTTCAATTATATTAGAAAATGTAAACAAACTGCATCATCATCCAGGTATGTTGGCCCAGTTCCCGGAATACTTCCTTGTCTGTATAAATAGACCCTTTCATTGTTTACAAACATTCAGATCTTTTCTCATGTTTACAAATTTTGAGCGCGGCAATGTGTTGCCAAAATTCCTCTTAATAGTAAAAAAATTGACGTCATTGAGGTCGATGAATATATTTTTTCTTTTGCTTGCCGCTGAAACTGAGTTGAATAGGAGAGGGAGGGTGAAATAAAAACGGGACTTTTTCAGGGGAGACCTACGGAAGCCCAATCGTGCCAGGTTTTTAAAGTACATTTTTTCTAATTGCAAAATAACGCAATAGTTTTGCAAAATAACGCAAAAAAAGGAACGCTCTGTGACAAAGAGTCATAAGTCTCAAGAGCTACGTTTTGAGTTTTCATTTGTATTGAAAACAGTAAATTTAGCTTTTTGTTTTGATGTATCACTCAGTTTGCTATCCTGGTGAAAGTGGATACTCCATGGTGAAAAATGCTATGGGTTCCTATTGATTTACGCCGTGAAAAATTATTCTAAAGGACTTTTGCTCCATAGTGGCTCTGCCGACTTGTAACTCATTTTCACAGAGTGGGTCACAAATACTCATACACGAAGAAAGCGCCCCTTGTTGTTAGCCGTCCAAAACTGAGAGCAGCAAGGCAACATCCGACCTTGAAAAGATGAATCCTGCTAATAAGCACTTTTGATGCATCCATTGGTATGCATTTTGAAATCCAGACTCTTGTGTTTGCTCCAGTAAAAAAGGAGCAACATTGACTATGGACGACTTATGTCTTCTTCTTAATAGTCCATATTGCCACAAACGTCGCTTTAATGTTCTTAAACTTACAATAGCACTGTGATTCACAGCTAAAAACCGTAAAATGTCAGAACACCTTAAACTAAGACAAGTAAAAGTTTACGAGGGTTTTAAGCCTCATGTTCCTTAACATGGTTACCCAGCCTACACAATCAACGAAACAATAGTAATCACGACAAGCTAATCGGCGTTATTTCGCAATAGTATTGCATTATTTTGCAATAGTATTGCGTTATTTCGCATTACTATTGCGTTATTTTGCAAAACTATTGCGTTACTTTGCAAAAGTATTGCGTTACTTCGCAATAAAAAATGTACTTTGAAAGCCTGGCACGATTGGGCTTCCGTAGAGACCGTATCGTGACCCGTAGGGGTGCACTGAACTAATTGAAGCCCCATCGAAGACAATGTAAAACCGACCACGTTTGCAGCCCCGGTGCGGCAACCGAAGTCCTCAGGCCTCTCAAACAAAGACGAAGTGTTCTGGGGGTCATTCAGCTCTCAATTTATTTTCAATTTTTAGTAGGTTAACCAATGAAATTTCACCTCCCAAAAGTTAAGTGAACGTTCCCAAGTCTGTCAGGGGCCATTTTTCAAATGACATCCCTCCACCTTTTCAGGCTCTTGGGACAATTTTTCAGTAGCAGTTTTCTGTGCTTTGCCTTAGGGATGGGAGCCCTTGAATCTAGGGAGTTCATTCTGGGCCATTCTTTCACAATCCCACAATTTCTTGGGCCACACAATCTCCTCTTTTTCAAATAAACTGCAGGGGTACTTTTTAAGCGCCTCGGCCTACCGAAGAATTTTCCTCGTGAATTAGGGATACATGTATATATATATGCACTCGTACCTTAGCCAGCCCCATCGCGTTCGTACACTTTTGTCAAATCTTTTCCTTTGTGGGGGAAAAAGAAAGCCGTGTCTGAATTACTTTGCTGCGGCTTACGCAGCTTCGTCATACAATTTCAAGCCGCAGCCTAGCCATCGGCCGCTGGCATTTCAACTGCGCATGCGTAAAAGGATCAGCAGTCATCCATATCCATGTCATTCGGGAAAATGGCGTGAATGGGGAAAAGGCTAAGCGGCTTAGTTTTTCGTCGCTTTTGAGTGGTTCTGCTTTGTTTTTGTCTATTTTGGCTGGCCCGCATTTAAAACGGTAAGCCGTTAATTTTTGTGCAAGCCCTGAAGGGTATCATGCCACTTGAACATGACTGTTTTCTCTTCACAGACTCTTGACAAGTAGTGCATGTATATTTAGGGTCCGTCGTCCATTTGCACAGCGCGCGGTGGACAACGGAACTCACAGTTTTGGCATGTTGGGGATNCAAATGAAATTCTTGTCTGGTCACTATTGTTTCAATTTCTTTTCAATTTTTGGGGGTTAACAAATTACAGTTTTAATTATTCCCACAAAACAAAATCACCCCCCAAAAGTGATTTTTTTCCGAAGTGTGATTGCAGCCATTTTCTCAAGTGGCAACCCTCAACTTTCTCGGGCACTTAGGACCATTTTTCAACCGTAGTTTTTAGCCATTCTGCTCTCATATGAAAGCTCAAAGACCCAGGGAGTTGATCCTGGCAAGAATTTTCACAATCTCACCATTTTGGGGGCCCAACAATCTCCTTTTCAAAAGATACTGCGGGTGGGGGCACTTTTAATGCTAATGAGCTGGCCAGAAATTCTCACTTGAATTAGTGGTCTGCACCCATAGGGCTCTGCTGGTTTGTTAGTCAGAGCATGGATGATTCCTCCATGGTCTGAGGAACTTGGACCCACATGGCCATACCATTTGAACGGTTTGCCAACTCGACCGTTGAGAAACTCGACGGGTAGGAAAACTCGATCATCTGTGCCTCATATTGATAGCCAACTTAACTGGAACAATTCGTTGATCGAGTTGACTCGACTCATAATGAGTGCACTTTACAGTCTCTTTACAGTCACAAAGTGACAATTTGAGTTTAATCCCCTTTTAACATTTTGTTATTACTACAGGAACATGCGTATTTGTGCAGTGTTTGGCTGTTCAAACAGCACCTACCATCTTCGGAAATGGATGAGCAACATTTGCAATCTACATAACTGCAACTACGGAACTTCAAGATGCATCTGCCCTGCTCCATTCAGATTGATCCCTTTCCCAACAGAAGCAAGAGATCCAGAAGCTCGTCTGCGTTGGATTAAACTTGTGAACAGGAAGAACCCTGACGGCAGTAGTTGGCAGCCTAACCCAAAAGGAAACAGCCGCATCTGCTCCAAACATTTTCCCGACGGGCAACCGACTGCGCGTAATCCGGACCCCGTTTTGCAGATGGGCTACACTCCCTTATTGATCGCACAAGTAACAACTGTAAAACGGCCTCTCCTGTACGTACAGGACAATCCAGTGTTGGCCAAAAGACCCCGAATGGCCGAAAATGACCGCCAGTCTGTGGCTACATCCTCAAGAGCCAACCATTGTGACCACAACTACACCTCCAAATGCATGTGTCAGGAAAACTGCGCTTGCATGGGCTGTTGTCTCAAACAGAAGGAAATCAACAAACTGATGGAGAAGGTTGCCGTTCTTGAAAAGCAAGTAGCAACTCTGCAGTGTCAGCTGTAACCAATATGCTAGAAAGCATCTGTCCGACTGGCCCATGTAAAAAAAAATGTGAAACAGATGTACAAAAAGCAAGATGAGCTTAAAGATTGTGTCCTCGTTTTTAAGTCGTTGATTCTGACAGGACCCTCGAAATGGATGCTCCTTTCAGACAAATCGCACACCTGGATAAAAAACAAAATTCTATTTTGTGCCTTTTGGGATCACAAGAGCGTTGGATGATTGAATGTAAATAATAAAAAAAGATTCACATCTGAATCGAAGTCAGCTCTAGTTTTATCTTAGTGAGTTGGTTAAAAATTGGAGAAAGTGACGAGAGTAGTCTGATACCAAGCTGGGCTTCAAGTAGGCTACATGTGCTATATCTCCAGCAAAACCGAGACAATGTGTGGGGCTGGAAAAAAAGTGGAATAATTCTTACAGAAACAGCTGTAGGCTTTGTCTTCTTTGTAATCTCATAGGCAATTCTTCACCAAGCTTGTGCACTGAAGAATGTCCAGTGTCCCAGTTTTTATTCAGATTATTTGTGATTTCTGTGAAAGATTTTGGAGGCCAGAATGCAAGACCATTACTTTCTCGTGACAAGGTATCAGTTAAGACCTAGAAAATGGTTGTCACTTTATTTTATCAACTGCCATCTAAAGCAGCCACAGTGTCATTTTGAACCTGATCCCTTTATAAAAAACTTCCAATGCATTAACTTTCCATCCAAGAAACCACCCAAAACAAAGAATATCCATACTCACACTTACCCCCCCCAAATAAAACTGAACCGTAAGACAAAACAGGCAAGTCCACAACTTTGCAGAGACTCATAATGAAGTTGAATAGTTTATCCCATTTGACCTTTGACCCGCACAACTCCATATCCAGATAGTGGACTGCTCACTGAATATATGCTTTGTCATCACACTTGACTTGGCAACAATGCAATCAGCAGTGTACATTAAAATAGTGCAGTTCTCATCTTTAACACTTGCCACAGCCTGAATGCAAAGTGTTGCAAGCCCTGCTTGATAAAATGCAGACAATGAAAGAAATACATTCTTAGAGTATGATAGGTTTCTTTTGCACTCAGCTAAAAGTAAACAACATCAACAATACACATTAGAAAAGCCTTAGGAATTGTTTTTCACTTTAACTAATGAATATCCATGCATACAACCCTGACCATGCTGAACCCAAGAAGGTTATGCAGGATTTCAGTGGTCCCGAGGGGGGTTAGGGTTAATTAATTGCAACACTGTGTCCTTACATTTATGTGGAAAATACATTGAAGTTCTTGTAAATTGGGTTTTGAAGTCTCTCCAGAAACACTTTCTTTTCAAAAGGGCCAAAGATACAAAATAACTGATGACTTATTTGTCTGGTAAACTGGTTTTCGTGAACTTTGTAAATTTGCCAGTTAGTATTTTAAAAACCCTGGATTTCAGCTAAATCAGGAAGTTTAAATTACATGTACCCTTTGGGGTTATAAGACTTTCGAAATTAGTTCAATGGGAATAAAATATTTCTAAATACATTCCATGAATTAATTAATCTCTGATGCCGTATCAGAAAACTTGAAATCTCTTAAATTTTAAATGCTCTAATTGCTTTACAAGTACATTTTGGCAGTTATGCAACAATCATTAAATAACAGAGGTATAATATATACAAATTTAAAAGTTAAAAAATTAGGTCATCAAGAACCCAAAGGGAACCAATCTAATCAGCTTTAAAATGTACATATTTACAATACATTCAATGTGTAAATGCACACTCCAAACAAGAGAAGTGTTACAGTACTTGGACCTGTGAAGTAAATAATTCAGAGTTAATTTGTATGTACCCCGAAAACCTTTGGAATTACAAAAACCGGCATTTGGGGCTGAGTTCATAATTTGGTAATTAACCATTTTACCACTGAACTGTCTTGTTGAGAGGGCCCACTAATATCCCATTGAGAAAAAAAAGAAAAAATCTTTGGTCAAATTCTATTCTAAAGGGGAATTTTAAAGTCATTTTCCCACTTTGACTTGATCAAAAGCCGAAAAGTATGAGGTACATTTTTAAATTTTCAACTGCCACAATGGAAAACAAACAGCGTAAAAGTTTCAATGCATCATTTTGATGCAAGCCATTGTAAGCAAATAAAATGGCCAATTTTAGGGATAACGGGGAATTTGTAGGTATTTCGGTTGTTAGCATTCCCCACTTGTCCACTTACAGGCTACTGGTCAGCACTGGATTCCACTCTATTCAATTGCAGATCCAGAACCCACTTTGGGGGGGAATTAGAATTTTATTTTCCTGTGCAGCGAAACCTTTTCTGGCCTTTCTGAGGGGTGAGGCTACTTTTCTGGGCTTTCACTTGCTTTGGAACATAAGGATAACGAAACAGACCAAAACCAGACAGGCCTTTCTCTTATTAAAAATGGGGGGGGGCCACATGACCCCGGTCCACCCTGAAGCAAGATGCTAAAACCTGCCAAAACCTTTAAAACGGTGGCATATCCAGTGGAATTTTTGCAGATTTTTTCTTCCTTTTTTTTTTTACAAGGAATGGGTGAGTAGAAAGAAAGTATTCGGTACATTTATTAATCAATTACTGGCAACAAATCCCTAAGAAAACAACAACACCAAATAAAAGCAAGAATGTCAAGACCTGAGTAAGGCTTTTGATTTTTTTTTCCAACGCCACCATATTGAATGAGCCCGAAGATGCATTCGGTTTTGGATCTGCCGGTTAACCCCCCCCCAGCCAAAAGCTAGAGATGCCGCTGCTTAAATATATGATCACTTACTGTATTACAACAGCGCGAGAGTTGATTCTTTGGTTGTAAACATTTTTACATTTTTTTTTTCGTGGTTTTTTGCTTCCATTCTAACTGAAGCTTCACAACTTGCCCTGGCCCACTTTCTTTAACTTCCTAAGTCGCCTCATATAGGAGTTCTTGGATAGTTCAAGAATTTTTCTGGGGTTGGAAGGATCATATTGTACGACGCTTTTGAAATCAGGGCTTCGGGCAAAGCAAATAGTTGCTGCCGTGATGCAAATGCTGGCGGTCAGTCCGAAGGTTATGAACTGCTTACCACCCTCCAAATGATTAAAAAAATTCAGAGTGTACTCGTACCCGCTGTCATCTTTCCACTCTCTCTGCATGTGATCCTCTGTTCGAAGAAAAGTCGAGAAGGGTACTGTGAAGACGTCCGAAACTTCGTCAGGGTTGGGAACGGGTGTGAAATCGTCGGGGATGAACCCGACGACGGGTATGACTAAAGTCCCCTTGAGAGCAAATGTGGGACCAAGTTGAGCGACGACTTGGACTCTCTCCCTGGCCAGTCCGATTTCTTCTTCCGTTTCCCTGAGTGCTGTGGTTTTCAAATCAGCGTCACCTTCATCACTCTTTCCGCCAGGGAAGGCCACCTCCCCGCGATGAGATTTCAGATTGGTCGACCGCACTGTCAGCAGGACGTGTAGCTGGCGGTTGCGGTAAAACAGTGGAATTAACACCGCAGCTTTCGGGAGCGACGTTGGGAGAGGGGGAAGTCCAGCCAACATTTCAGTTGCGTCCATCTGTCGCAGTCGTGCAACCACCTCATCTTTAGACGGTTCCATGAAAGTTGAAGAGGACGTTGATGGTATCTCTGCCATTTCTCGAAAGCACCTGGGCAAAAAGATACGCCTCTCTTTATTACAAGCTTAAAGAGCCACTTTTGAAGGCATACAGCCTAATAAGTACGATCTGCTACAAGCAGTAACGAGGGCATGTGAGGGTCCTTTGAGAGGAACTTCCCCATGGGCGCGCAAGTTATGTGCGTTAGGCACCAGGGCATGGAGAGTACATGCAACACATTTATACTGGAATGTATTAATCTCCATTATGAAGACTGAATAGAACATTGTACCCAAATAGAGACCAATGCTGGATGATGGGCAAACGTGTGCAGGAGCTGGATTGGAAAACGTCTCACCAGTCTGTCTTTCTTTCACTGGTGAGGATGCACTTCAACTCAGGGCGGATTTGAAATACCTTATATCAAAAAAATTAAGGATCTTCATGGAGTGGGCCTAATCAAATTGACCCCAGAACTGTGGGGTCAATCCGACTTCCACCCCACTCCCACAAAATGGGAGCGGGGCGGGTATCTGAGCCCACAGTTCTGAGGAGTGGTGGTAAAACACGCTAGACGTGCTTTTACGTGTTTTAAAAGCAAGTAAACATGGCTAATGGGGAAATTCAAAATATTATACCAATTATACAGAAACTACAGAGGAAAAAATGTTTCATCTTGACTCCACTTCAGCAGTTGTGTACAAAGTCTATGGGGAGTGAAGAGAATGTTTTAAGTATTTCCCAACAACCAGACAACATCGGTAAATGTGTCTCACTCAGTCCAGAATTCGTGTCTTTCCAGCATTTCTGTAATGACCGACTTTTATTGAGATGATATATGATGAGAAAAGTGGAGTCAGGATGCAACATTTTTTCCACTACAGAAAAAATGAATCATGATCAACAGATCAAGTGATGAAGAACATGAAGAATTGGACACAATTTTTTACCTACCTGAAGGGATGAAACAGACCTTTAAAAAGATAAATCCTGCACAAAAGTGGGCGTAATCTACCGATATTTAAGTCATTTGTATGCAGACAGTTTGCCAAAGCGTACATGCACATCGTCATGATCATGTAACTCGTACAACCCACCTGGACTTTAACCATGTACACTGTACATGTACATTTACATATCCCGGGCCCCATGTGCGTTTGGCCGGGGAAAAGGTCAGTCTAGCTACGGAAGCGTATAGGGGCCACTTGCAACATTTTGTTCGAGTGCCCGATCTCCCTGTTGCTTCTGTACTGTATGCAGTGTAGTGTCGCGTCATGTGTTGCCTGAAAGTCCAGACAACTAACGGCACAGAGGCGAGGAGTACATTATTTCGATGCAGCGAGATATTAATTTTAAAAAAAATCTGAAAGTGAACCTTACATACGAAAGCCCGTTAGTGCCACATCTTCATCACGCAGCTACATGTATAGTTATGTTCGACGATGAACTGTTTTTTTTATCCTCGTTGTACGATAAATACGGGCGATTCACGATAATGCCCCTCCAAGAGTTTGCAACGCGTTGGCCAATCCCGACGCGCAAAATCTGTTTGCGCTTTCCAACGTGCACTATTGGAGGTGCACTATCGTTCGTATTGTACAGGACACAGATTTATTTCCACAATTCATTCAAAACGTTGTTAGTGTTATCATTTGCTCAGCATTCCTCGCAGACATACAACACATGAACGAGCACGGATTTTATAATTACACACATGAACAAGGCCAGCAAAAATGCCAGGAAAAGTTAACCTAATAACTGTGACCCGAAGGCCTCCATATCCAATGCTACTACAGGCTTAACGAGAAAAAGTTAATAAATGCTCTCGAAATACTCTTGAAAGAAAATAAACAGCTGCACTGGGAGATAAAAATAACTGCTCCCGAAAATAGAAATAGCTGCTCACTGGAAAAGTTACTGCACGTCCAGTGGCCTTGTTGAAACGGGGCTGCAGATCGAGGTTCAGCCAATCCGCTGCAGGCCAGCTGTTGTCATTGTACGTAGAATAAGCCACGGCCCGCGACCAAAACCTTGTGTTGTAAAGGTCTTGAAAATATGAACAGCTGCTGTGGGAAAATGTGCTGGCGAGAATAAAAAGAACTGCCTCTGAAAATAAAATTAAGTGCTGTGAAAAATAAAATAGCAATGGCACTAACGGGCCCTCGTACTTTTACGTTTCCTGTACAGCCTGCAGGTCTTTTAGATTGCCTGAGATCGAGAATGAGAGCGGTGTTCCCTTCCAGACACCTGATCTAATTTTTTTTACCCCAAAGTCATAGTTAAGAAAACTGCCATTTACATGCATATATGCTTTGTCACCATGTTTGCTTCAGCAATAATGCAATCATAACTAGTGCCTGATAAACCTACAGGTCTCACGTTTAGCACTTACCCACAGCCTAATGCAAAATGCTGCAAATTCCGCCTGATAAAAATGCAGACGATGAAAGAAATACATTGCAACAGTATGACAGTTGTTTTTTCGCTCAACAGCTAAAAGTGAACGACGTCGACAACAGACATTAAAAAGGCATTAGGAATCGTTTTCCACTTCAATTCATGATTATACATACAGACATTATAAATAGCTAAACTTTGTCCTTACATTTATGTGGAAAATACATTGAATTTCTTGTAAATTGGGTCTAGAGGCCTCCCCGGAAAGTTTCTTTCTGAGAGGGCCAAATATACGAAATAAGCGAGGACTTATTTATCTGCTCGATGTCCAAAACAATGTGTCTTTAGTGTAACCACAACTACACTGTACCTCAAGTCAAATCTGTTCAATTCCAAAACTGATTTTCATGAACTTTGAAAATTTGCCAGTTATTTTAAAAAGCTGGATTGCTTGAAGACTTCCTAAATTTGTTCAAAAGGAATAAAATATTTCTCAATACGTAGGATAAATTTATCAATCTCTCATGCCCTATTAGCAAACTTGCAAAAAATTGGCAAAATTTTAAATGCTTTAATTGATACAAACTGTGCATTTACGCAGATATGCAAAAAATCATTAAATAACCGTTGTACATGTACAAATTTAAAAATCAAGAATCCAAAGGGAACCAACTTAATCAGCTTTAAAAAATCATACAATACATCTTCAACATATGTAAATGCACACTCCAATCAAGAGAAGGGCTACAGTATTGAGATCTATGAAATGAATAATTTGTATGTACTGCCCCCCAAAAAAACTTTGATTTAAAACAGGCATTTGGGGTTGAGTTCATAATTTGGTAAATACAACCTTTTACCACTGAACTGTCCTATTCAGGGGGCTTATACTGATAGGACTGTGCCAGGCCCGTTGCCTGACCAGAGACTGGGGGGGGGAGGGTCGTCAAACCCAAAAGTGTAACTCTTGGCACTGTGAACACATATTTTTATACAAAGGCCTATCATAATGTGCTTTAAAGCACAACATCAAACAAGTTCCATGTTTGTCGCGAACCGAAGGATGCGTGTAAGACTTGCATAGGCTCCCTACTTCAGTTTTCAATAGTCACGGCGTATTGTAAATTGGCCTGGTAATGAATTTGCTCTTCACCCAGCACCTTGAATCGGGCGCTGGGTGACGGCGAGCGAATGACATGAACATTATTATTAAAACAATCTCAAAAAATCCCACAAAAAAAACAGAAGTTCTAAAAAAACTGATACGTTCTAGTAAATCATTATTACCCCCACTCACCTCACTAAAAATGGTAAAAAAGGAATATTTTAGGGCGAATTTTAGTTGGCACTTCGGAAAAGAAATCGAAAAATCAATCATGTTGCTCCATACACAAACGTTAGAAGTGAAATTTCGAAGTGCCCATAGGGTCCGCGCCACTTTCCGGTGCGCATTCTTCAATTGTAATGTGAAGCAGCGCACCAACGAGTGTTTTCATTACGCCTAAACCTTCTCGAGTCTCGAAAATACCAATTTTAGTGGGCTGGATTAGTGTCCTGGGTCCTCGCTATGGGTGGACTATGCAGCTGTTCTTTTTAAGACCACTAAAGTGATAAACAACATGGATTACACAACCGTAAAAGACAAAAAACGAACAGACGTACAGCACAATGTTTGAGGTGCGAACGGTACTTACAGGGCATTTACAAGTCTTTCTGGACTGGTTTCCTTCATTTCCAACACGTGAGCAGAGCCAATGTAAACGACAACCAATGAAAACTGCCTTGTCCCCGCGTCCGCCGGAACGCTGCGCCGCGCCGGTGGTACGCGTAGCTGGCCGGCCGCGGCGTCGGTCCGGGTTCTGCTACGCTGCAGGCATGGAGCGGCGTTTACTGACTGATTTCATTCTTTAAACGTTGCCGTATAAACCGCCTGCAGTTCATTATAAACCGCAAGATATTTTCCGCCTGAGAATCAATGTATAAACCGCAGCTTACGTTCAAAAAATTGTAGTAGGCCCGTATATTAAATTTATATATTTATTACAAAAAAACAAAAACAAAACAAAAACAACCACACACACCAACGAGCGGAACTCGGAAGCGAAGGGGGGGGGGGGGGGTTTCGTTCGAACCTCCCAAACCCCCCAGCCTACGGGCCTGTGTGCCGAATATCCGAATAACCGAATATTCGATTGTCGAATATTCGAAAATTATTTTAGAAATTTGAATATTCGAATGCAAAATTCATGAAAAGGAAGAAAAAATTTGCTTCTGTTTTAAATGAAAAAAATTACACTGGAGGCTTGTTTCAAGCAGATTCAAGTGACAAGCGTCAGAAATCTCACAACGATTTAAAAATTAAATTATTCATAATATAATTTTTCAACAGGAGTCTTGGTCATAAATCTTGCTAAATAGTGGTTGGAGATGCTCCTACATGTGAGAAGCTTTTATATTGATCATAATGTACAATTGTGTGTGTTATTGCAACTGATTTTGTATATGGCGTGTTCATCAACAATCTGTTGGTCAGTACGACCGAATATTCGGATATTTGACATAATTGAGGGTCGAATATTCGAATAGTGAATTATTCGAATTGACTCAGCCCTACCTACTGATATCCCATTAAAAAATAAAGAAAAGTCTGTTGTCATATTCTGTTGTTAGGCCTAAGGGGTATTTTTTTAAAAGTCATTTTCACACTTTGTCAGGATTAAAAACTATTAAGTATTTTGAGGTAAACTTTAAAATTTTCAACTGACAAAATGGAAAACACTTGAACAGCGCACAATTTTAAATGAATCATATTGGTGCAAGCCATTGTAAGCAAATAAAAGGGCAAATTTTAGGGATATCGGGCAATTTAATTACAGTATTGTAACGTGTTCTGATAGGTACTCAGGGAGGATTATTATGAATAGCCAACAATGGGAAACTGAAAAGGGGGGGGGCTAAACTGAAGTGGAAATCACAGAGGAAAGGACAGCTGGAAAATGAATGAATCTGGTGCTTAAATAAAATGCACTACATGCATTTTTACTCTAATTCTCTTTTCACCCAACAAAAAAGAACCAATCATATCACTCACTTCGGACCCAGCTGCCCAGTACTTCCAGGTGCGCCGGAGTCCTAACCTTGTCCAACTACTAAAGGGTACTTCAAGCCAATCACGTGGGCGAAGTGCGGCAAATGTTAAACCCTCTAAAACAATAACACATCCTGGCCGTGCGCTCTAATCATTGTTGCTGGCCGCTACTGAGAACTTTGTTACAGCAAGTTGGTCCCACTTGTACACTTTTGTTAAGCACTTGAGTTAGGCCACTGGTCAACAGTGGAGTCCACTGAATTCAATTGCAGGTCCAGAAGCAAAGCTTTAGGGAAGTGGGCAAACTTGGGTAAGAGGGATTTGAAAGTTATTTACGCACAGTGTAACCTTTCTAGCCCTTTGGAGGGGCGAGGCTACATTTTGAGTCTTTTTACACGCCTCCGTACCGTGGGGACATTTTCTAGCTGTATTTATTGGCCACCGTATTTTTAAGCTGGCCTTGCAGCGTATGTGTTTTACGGAGTGGTTTTACCGCAATATCAATTCACGATTTGCGAAACAATGAAACTGGTACGGTCTGTTTGCCGATGTACATCCTAACTCTTCATAATTCCCCAGAATCTCCAGAAACTCACCGTGGTCGACGTAAATTTAACAATTCATCCGAATCACAGATGTACAGATATACTGTAGTACAAACAGAATCTTTTTTTAAGGAGTAGTTTCGCGCTTGGCTAAGGGGCCGTCCGGGAGATCTCCACGAATTCAAGCTGTTCATGTCACCGCAAATCTTGTGCCCAGGATGAGCTTCCTGAAGCCACATATCTTCACCATGTTCAAGGACTGTTGAATTGGTGTTGTTTCAGCACTCAATGCGTTGGCCCATGGAGGAAGGACAAAACTTATGGTTGGCCCGACGTCAAACCCCACATTTCTGGGGATACAATTTCCGCTACTACTAGTGACCACAATTGCAATATTTATTGATCTTAATTTGTACTTTGTAGCAGAGCTTTAACCATAGGCAGGTTTGAAACACGGTAAATGTCCCTCCTAAAATAGAACATCACCCCCAAAACTTCTCTTTTTATTAACCACCTTGGTTAACTTAGCATTTGATTTCTCGATTTTTCATCGTTAAGTTTACTAAAGCAAAATAATTGAGATTAGACTGTATCCGTTTGGTGACATGGGCCCCTACTAACAACTTGATTTTGAAGATTTATCATTTTGAAGAGATCTGCTTATGATTGCACACTCTACGGTATATACCCTAAATGTGTTGAAAGACGGTTTGATGTGTGCAAATAATTTCTTGGTCTGAGAGTTTGGATCCAATAGATCTCTGCTATTGGAGTCGAGACCACTTAAGACCTTCACAAGACCAGCACAAGACCTCAAGTCTGAATTCAAGTCACAAACTATTCTAATAAACAGCAACAAAAGCATTCCTTTTGTCATTGTTCATGCTGGTACTGGTCTTGTGATGGTCTCGACTGCAACACGGAAAAACAACCTCAAACTTGTGGAAATCACAAACGCTAGGGTAGAGGATTCATTATTGGGCCATCTGGTTTATGTTCAGGCATCTGAGGTTTGGATGCATATTTTCATTAATATTACACAGCTGTGTAGTTACAGATTTTCTAATGCAAAAATTGGATGTGATAGAAGGTCTAAAATAAAGATAAACATTAATTGCCCTGTAACAGCCTGTTTCTTGAAATCTTTTACACAGGTAAAACATGCCAGCGGTTAGGATTTAACCCAAGTCATCAGTCTCATAAAGATGGAGGTCTTTGTGAATACTTATGATGCGTACAGCGAGCTGTAGCAACCATGACCCAGCAGCCTCGCCCATACATCCGCAACCCTATGTTGCGGATGGCCTACGAGCATCAGACGAACACCAAATTCACCAGGAATAAGATCCGACAGCATTTTGATGTAGAAAAGGTGCACTCTTAACCCTGCCTACAGCAATATATGCTCCATTTTGAAGTGCCGTTTTGCTGATACTTGACTAAAAAGAAAAAATACGGCCAACTATCAAAACCTTCCATGATATCCAATTGCTGTTCATGCTGAAAAGCCTGGTTTAGTCACTGTATACACAGGGGCTTCCCCTTAGCCATGAAAAAAAAATACTCAAGCCGGTCCCTGAGTAAGGCCCATTGAACTGTGTACAAACATCTTCCAGATGTAAGCCCCAAGTGATTGTCTACATCAGGCCTGCACTTATCAGTCGAAATGCCCTCCAAGCACCCTTTCAGTGGGGTGGGGCCCCTTTGATGTTTGTGGCTTGGGCTGACCATAGAGACACATGTCTAGACATGCATTAACCAATCAGCTCTGCTCATACCCAGTCAGATCTTCGGTTGCACCCCACTCCACCCACCTACCCCCCCCCCCCGGTCCCAGCACCTTAAAAAAATTTCAACGCCATTTCTTTTTTTGGGGAGTGTGGAGGACATCCATGTAGCAACTTTGAACCATTTACAACAGCTTTTGGGCCAAAACAAATACAATTCACACAGTTGTAATGCCACTCTCTAAAATGGAGTGTCAAACAGCACCAATGAAATCAGAGGAAACAATGCCGTGTAGGGTGAAGACATGTAGGCCTAATTCTGGCATTATTTTTGTATGAGAGATTTGTCGGATCATTAGCTTTATGGTAATAAGGTCACTGAGAAGTCCAAGAGGCTTCTCAAACGGGGTATGAACAGCACGGAAGCACTAACCAACCGAGTGGTTTGATATGAGTATGAGTGAGCATGGAATTCTGGGAAATGTGCTGGAGTTCTACACGATACAAGTGTTGGATGTGATTGGTTGATCTGCGCGGTCTTTGCTATCGGTTATCCTCCAGGAGATCTTGGACTTTTCGTCCCTGTTTCAAAGCTCTCTTCCACACTGAACCATGTATTAGAAATGGGGATTGACCGATTGTGTACAGATCAACCAGCCACAGATTGACCAATAGTGCTCAACACAGGTATTTCTCTACATGCTGTTTTTGAAAAGCATTTTTGTCTGTTTTCTTGTTTTTTAGTGGTACAAATGCAACTTGGACATTTTTCCAGAAGATCTCAGGGTCATGTTTCATCAGTCTCACATGGACAGGGCTACTGAAAAGTTCTTGGACATCAGCTACAGGAAATCAGATTGGATCATCACTCAAGCATGGCATTCATTGGCCAAGGCATTTCTGGGTTTCTTTATGTCAACTACCTCAATTAATGGGTAAGGTGCCTGGTGGAGGCATTGTACTCATTCGGCTGAAATTCTGTAACATGAGGTTGCAGTTTGGCGAAGTAGCCAGTGCATGGTGTATTGGTGTTAGTCAACGTGATTCGCATTTCGAGTGTTCATAGAGCTAGATTTCACTTTTTCAAAGTTGGGAATAGTTGTTCAGTGCCTTATGTAAGTAAGGGAAGATTGTTTCAGTATTTGTAATGTATTTCAATTTGTTTGGGAACTCCTTGCTTAAAGATATTCCTGAAGACCAACACAGGACCTCCATCCCGAGTTCAAGTCGCTCTTTTCAAATGAACTGCAACAAAGTCATTCTTTTGTCATTGTTTACTCATCAGTTGTCATGGTCTCAACTACAACTTTGAAACACAAACCATTTCTACTTTTCACTCGAAAAAGGTTACTCGACCGGGGAAGCATGTTCGTCTTCTCCAAGGAGCAGTTTCGGTCGCTCCTTGAGATCGACGCCGACTTCAAAGCCGACCATCTGCTGGACCTCGGCGCCGGAGATGGGAAGGTGACGGAGATAATGGCCAGTCATTTCAGGAGGGTGTCCGCCACGGAGGTGTCTTACACCATGCAGAGAAGGCTGCGCCAGCTGGGATACACGTAGGCTAGACATCCCAGAGCACTTCCAACTCAAGTTGTACTTGCAGAAACAAGCCGATCATTTCAAATCAGCCTCTGCATCTTCTTGATTCCTCACATGCCATTCCAATATGAAACCCGTGAAATGCACTTTAAGTTTTCCCATCAACCTTTCATTAAGTAGGTTGTGGTCAAGACCAGTCACAAAACCAGACACGAACAATCACAGGCAAGTGCAGGGTTAAGAATGTCGCAGGTGTTTTTAAAAGCTTGGCTTGAATTCAGACGGAAGGTCTTGTGTTGGACTTGGGGTGGACTTGGGGTGGTCTTATTCGGCCTGGTGATGATCTTAAACTACAACACTGTTATTTAATATCTGAGGGGCTTTACGGCCTTTCTTCAAAAGTCTCAGTCTTGGACCATATCTCAGCCTTGGCCTTACAGCGAACTTTCATAAATTTGCAGATCAAACTTCTATTTAACAAATTGGCACATGACTTAAAGTACATTTGTTTGTGATGATTGCCTCTCAAATTTCAGGACGAATATGGACTACTGTAATTTTGGACGTTTGTCCAACAGAAAAAGTTAAAAAAAAATCAAAAATAAAACATCATGTCGAGAGGGCAGTGCTTAATTTCTCTCTGTTTATTAAACACATGTTTATCCACCAAGAAAAATGCCATGGCTCCATTTCTCATCTTTCCTCTTCCGTCTAGAATTCTTGGTCTTGAGCAGTGGGCCGGCCACAAGTATGATGTCATCAGCTGCTTGAATCTGTTGGATAGATGTGAGAGACCAGCCACCATCATGAAAGACATCCACAGGTCACTAGCACCCGGCGGTGTGACGATTGTCGCCATGGTGCTTCCGTTTAAACCGTTCGTTGAGACGGGTAATGACGAGAGCATTAATCTTGCTATGAACAAAAAAACAAAGCAAACATAGTTGATGTGCTAACTAAGCTGTCAAGTTTACCAGCAATCAGTCAAATCTTGTGCTGAAAGGGGACAGTCTTGATCCACCTCAACTCCAAGCTAAAGTGGGGGTGTTTGATTTTTAGTACAATGGCTAATTTAAACAGCTTAGGCTAATGTTGATCAGATGTGCATACCATGAAAAAATTGCACTTCAAATGTTCTACGATATTTCTAGGTGGAGAAGGCACAAGTCAGTGCCTGTTTTTGATAGGTCCAGTCACAAGTAGAAGGATGAACTATAGCAAAGGAATACTTTTGTCTTAGTTCATCGAATCATCTTGTAGCTTGGCTTGAAGCTGGATGACTTGTGGCTTGAAATCAACCGTGGCCCTATCCCAAACCGCAAACGCGCTGTCTCATCGCAGGACTCAACTCTCTTTTCAAAATGTTCCAGCACCCCGGTGAAATCTGCTTCAGAAGAATTCCGTCTTTGCTATCTTTACGCAGGCTCGAATCAAAACCAGCCCATCGAGGAGTTGCATCTCCAGGGCAACACGTGGGAAGAGCAGGCCAGGAGCTTCATCTTAGACTTTTTCACCCCTGCGGAATTCACGGTCCTGGCTTTCACTAAGTTACCCTATCTCTGTGAGGGCGACACGGAGAACCCCTTCTACGTCCTCCAAGACGCTGTGTTCGTCTTGAGGAGGTCTGCCGATGCCGGCATGGCGTTACCTTGGGCATCATGTGAGTCTGGGGCTGACGACAGTGACGTTGTGGTGGACATTACCAGCTGAGGAAGATCGACTTCTGGAATACCCCACTTCCTGTTTGAATTTTATTTTTGTTATTCTATTGCCGATAGGAAGTGGTAGTTTCAGCACGTTCCTTATTTTGTGACCGGAATTCTCATTACCAGAAAACTCGAGTGCAGCATCTGAACTCGGGCCTTCGGCCAGGCCATACCAGGATTTCGAGCATCTCTCATCTGCTACTACAATCCCACTAAGGGGATTTTGTTACCAGTTAAAAAAGTACCAATCCCAGCCGTGAATAATTACCATCGCTTGACTGAACAGCACGTGCGGTATACCTGGAGTTTTCTCAGGACTCATTAAGTTAATAACCTGTGTGGTATTTAGTTTTGTAAAGTCATGAAACAATATTTTCCAGTTTTAATTGCTGAAATAGAGGCACAAATGCCCAAATCCCAAATGAGATATGGAGAGGAGCCCATAGTTCTTGGGGAAATTGTCCTGTGGGGTCCAGTTTAAAGAAGTATAGATTGGCGTGTAATTGCAAAAATGGTGGACTGGCTACTTGCAGTGTTGATAGATGCCATGAGCAATTGAGATGTCACCTTCCCGTGGGCAAAGATAAACAATGAAATCCTGGTTTGAGGGGAAGCTAGATTTTTAAAAGGAAATTTGCGTTTATGCAAATACGTTTGCTCATACACGGGCCCTCTCTCATGGAATTGCCAAGCTCAGAAATCTGCTGTAATAGCTGCTATTGTCAGCTTAGCTGACGTTGGTTACCAGCTCAAATGCTACGCAAAGTATATACATGTAATGGGAGACCAGTTGTGTGTTTGTTCTTGTGCAACCCGGCTATCTGCTAAGCAATTTCTTCTGCTTCAGAGGTTTATGTAGTTGGATGCTTGTTGCCTTCCTCGATCACTCTGGGGTTAAACAGCTCTTGCATCCAATCAGGGAACAGTCCCAGTATTTTAAGTTTTGAAAGGTTCTGTAATGGTTTCAGGCTAGACTGCATTGAAAATAAGGGAATATGTGCTTGACTGGTCTCAAAAGTATGTTTAACCTGGCTCGGGAGACTACACGCGACTAATGCCCGAGCTGCAGGCGAGGGCATTATCAGAGCTCAGTCTCCCAAGCTGGTCTTAAATGTTAGTTTGAAACCAGCCGAGCACATAGTGATTCCCGTTCATAAATACCTGTTTAGTCCGAGTCTAAAGAAGTCACTGTATGATGGATTTCCTATGATTTTATCCTAGAATTTTACTTTCATTTTCCTGAACACCCCCGTCCATTTTATGGTATATTCCTTGTACAAGTTGTCCAGTAGAATCTCCTTGTATGCACTTGGCGTGCGTAGTGAGCCGTGTGCACACTTGACTAATCAGAATCAAACTGTCTCATATCCATGTGCCAGCGCGTGATTAACGCAGCGGGCATTGTCAAATGTTAATACACAGGTATTTATGAATGCCAATTAATTATGGACTGTTCCCGCAAAGACTACCAAAGGCCTGAAATGTATACATTATACACTGTTAATTTTTATATATATTTAGTTACACATGGAATAATTTGAAAGATTTGGTTGTCGGAAATATTAACCTTATGTTGTTTGAATGCAAGGCCTGGCAGTGACAAAAGGTCTGGGGCCAATTTATAGAGCTGCTTAAGCACAAAATTTGCTTAAGCGCAAAAAAGCCTTGCTTAAAAAACAAAGGTTACCAGCTCAAAATCCAAGTGATTGTCATGCTAACCACAAGACAGGCGAATACCATGCCAGAACAGTATACATCACATGGAGTTTTGGCTGGTAACCTAATTTATCAAGTAAGGTTTTTTCACGCTTAAGCAAATTTTGTGCTTAAGCAGCTCTGTGAAATTGGCCCCTGGTGTTGTGTGAAATTTGGACCTTATGATACACTGATGCAACTGTATTGCGAATCATGTAACTGTGGGTTGGCGCCCAGAACTGGGAGAGTCGTTATAAAGACCAAATTTTTGGGCGGTCCAATTTTCACACGACACCAGGAGTGTGGTAAATGCTGGTACAAAAGGCTTGCAAGGCGAAATATTGATACTTGCCAAGCTGTGTTGGGGGTCCGCAGTTACTGAAGAAAGTTAACTTGCCACATGTCCTGACAAAACCAACATTGCATCAACTTTCAAGATGTTGTGCTGTTAAAGCAAGGTCATCTCCATGGCAACCTTAAACCAGGGTCAAAATTCTTTACCAGTGTTTTACTTGTCAGTGTTTTTGTTGACTGAATCATTTTGTTACTTCTTTAATGTTAATAGGTCACCGTAACAGTTGAGTTTGTGACTCCGAAGTGTTAAAAACTAACAGGTAATAAGGGATGGAATTGTGCAGTATTAAGATACCAAGTCCACCTTTCTTGTTCTACGCTAAAATTGATCTGTGCAGTTTTCCTGGGGGATTATTTTAGTGGGCAAGTGCAAGGTTACCAACTCCTGGGAAAATAAAGATGGGGGTAGCATCAGTTTCAAATAATTTGAAAGAAACGTTAGCATGTTAAAAAACCCTCAAAATCTTTGGGGAATGTTCGCAACCGTGAAACTGCATTGCATGCCCATTATGTTCGAACAAAACGTAATCGACTTCCAGCTTTGGGTCTAAAGCACACAGCAGCAGTTTCAAAACAGCAAAACACAACTTCTTATTGAGCTAAAAACTCTACAAAGTGGGACGAGGGGTGTCAAAATCAGGTGAAGAAAGTGCCTAAGCCCAGATATGAAGAGCCCCCGAAGACACCAACTAGATCAGGATGGCGCTGTCGTGCACTGAAATGAAGACAAGCAAAATGCCCAAACAGTCATTTTTCTTCACCATTCCGTTTATTACTCAAACAGTGACCTGATTCGATTTGGCTGAACCAACGGATTTACATCGCTTCTGAGAGGACAGTCTTGATCTTTACTACAAAGCCAAAAAAAGTTTAAAGGAAACAATTTCCCTGGCTGTGCTAGTTCAAGAAACTAGCACCCCAAGAGGGTGCGCTTTCTGTAAGATGCCTTGCTCAGGTGACGGCGGCGTGGCGGATGGCGACCGCGTCTACTTGGCAGCGGCAGCCTCCTTCTTCGCTTTCTTCAGTTTGTTCACCTCGGTGTTGATGATGCGTGTCCTCTGCAGAGGGGGGAAAGGTGCATCAGGTGGAGAAGAAAAAAATATCGGGGGTTGACAGAATGCAAATGTGGACAAGCAGAGGAAAAAGGAAAGCTGAAAACTGCACTCCCTAACTGTTGATCCATCTTTTGATCCAGCGACTGTTACTTCCCCCCTTTGTGAACAGTGCTTGAGAAGATGTCATTTATTCCATGCCTGACAAGCAAGATATAACGAAAGGTTTTGAGCGCAGCGTGCTGAACAAAATGTGTAGCTAGGCACCAGACTATAAAAAATACATAGACTATACACGAAATGTTTCAACACTGGATCTAAACCACTAACTGAGATTCTGAACAGTTTCACGCTGCCACAGAACCCGCTGAAAGTTGCCAGGTATTCTGTGGGCGTCCATGCACGTTCACGAGTCACGAAGCTTCAAAAAAGGGGCAAGGAGGGCCCATTTTGAAATAAGCTTTGCTGTGTACCCCATGCACTCTGAAAATGTTGACAAGAAAGGGCCCGAACAGACGCTGGAACGGCAAAGCCCTTTCAAGGGGTGGAATCGAGGGACGTACCTTCTGCTTGGCTCTCATGAGCTTGTAGCGGTCAAAGTCTGTCATGTTGGCTTTCTGGAATAAGAAAAGGGAAACCGCTGTAAGACCTTCGTCAGCACTTTTCCTGATCCGAATGATATTGCCTGTAAAGCCAACACTGGACCAGCCAAGAAATCAAACAAAATATTTTTTTTTTCTGCAAGGATGCTGAAGTCTACGAGTGCGTCACTCGGCTTGGCAAGCGTGGTGTCTCTTCCATGCCGTCTGCGAAGCCTTCACATCACACCAAGAAAGCACCAACATTCTCAGAGCCCCGGGAGGACGGTGTGCCGAAATCTCATCATTAACCTTTAAACATTATGATGTGGATATTAAGCAAGATACAGGGTTACGGCTCAATTTCAGAACTCTGCTGACCATGGCATTTCGTGCGCCATTCCGTGCTTACTGCTCAAGCAGAGAAGTGTAATGCCAGTTCTGTACGCACAGAGGGTATCCCATGTTTACAAGATGTAAACCTTCCCATGAGAAGTATCTTGCTGACTAGTGAAAAACGCTGTAACTGCAGGTTGGGGTGAGACTGGGGACATGAAGATGAAATCTACAATGCATCCACATAGAGGAGTTGTCGCCATCAAATACGGTGTCTTTTCAGGGTATGAATATCTCACGAGGCATGGGTTTTCTCCCAAATAGCTACAATTATCTGGGATTCACATTTGTTCTTTCGTGCAAAGTGCTAAAAAAGGTAGCAGAAACTGAAAGATTTTCTCTCTCAAAAATCCACAATTACCAGGCCCAGAATCCTAAAATTGGGAAAAATCCTGTGGATTCACCACGACGCTATGATCAGCAGAGATTGTTTCCTTGCAGAAAGCAGACCCCCCCCCAAGAAAATTCCAGACAAAGTCACTGTTTTCTCCTCACCCTCTTCTTGGCGGCCAGCTTCTTGGCCCAGGTGGTGGCCCGCCACTTCTTCTCCACTTCGGCCTTCTCCCACGCCTTGCGGACCGTGCCGGTGCGGGCCGAGTGGGGGATGCGGATCTTGAAGGAGGTCAGGTGGAGCTTCTTCAGCCGGATCTGCTGGCGGGGGAAGCCGGTGCACGGGCCGTCCACCAGGGCCTACAATGAAAAAAGGCGCGTCCAAAGGGTCATAGGGCATCTGTTGCGTCTGGTAAACTTTTAATGGTCGAATGAACGCTTGGATGACGGCAAAGTGGATGTGCGCTACAATGCCCAGCGATGATGACGCTATTTGCCATCTTCGGAGGCTTTTTTCGTATCATTGAAATTGTGTTTGATAACAACTGTAACAGTACTTCACCACTGCTTCCGATGTGTTCTGAATATCAAAATTAATTTAAAATGTATGCAACTTTTTCACTCGTACAGCCTGTAGACAAAATAACACATGCCACTGAGTCTCTGGTATGCTATGGAAACTAAAATCCATGTTGAAAATATCTTTTAAGTATGGACAGGCAATATGCCTAAAGTCAGTAAACCTACGGCATCTGTTTATGTTGGGTCATTCTAAGTGATAGTAATGTCAATGTAAGGCTTCCACCCTTTTATGCAAACAGTATTAATTAATGGCGTCCGGTGTGGTCTGAAATCAAAAGCAACAAATTTTTCGTGGCATTTTTTCTATAATAAGCTTTGACAATAGGAGATTTGCTTGAAAACAGCTTCAGGCGAAGCGACTGAGGTAATGTATATCAAATAATATACGAAAATGTCAAGATGTCAGATATGTCAACATGGCTTCTCTGAGAAACAATTTTTCACTGCAGATGACCTTCACTGAAGGGTTCACTGGTTAGTTAGGGCGATTTCTGCACATTAGTTACCCTTTTCTGGTCGATGACATCAACGATGGCGCAGAGAGTACCCCTGTTCTTGCCAACGGCCACAAAGGCCACACGGCCGATCTCCACGAAGCGTTCAAAAACCTTCCAAAACAGAAACAAAACTAAGTGATCCTCAAAAGTTTCACTTCAAACTCATTTAAACAAAGCACGACTACAGCATGTAAGAGTCAATACAGTCCGACGAGCTCGGCTTTGAGGCTTGCCGAAGGATGCAGCAAGGCGAGTCTTTGGGCCACATCCCAGGAGCTAGGAACAATACCGACCTAGAAACACAAGCGCAAGATATTGCTAGTTCTTAGGGTAACACTTAGGCCTTTAACACAACAACACTCATTGCTATGACCGTGCTTCATTCTCCCTGCTGTAGCAAAAAGATATAGAACGTGAGATATCAAATGATAATCTGAGGTTTGCTCAAAGTTAAACATGTACAACCATGACTCAAGTTCAACTTAGCCTATGGGGCGGCGCGGACATCTGGGACTCTCGCAAAATAACGGGTAGCAACCACACCGTGAGAGTCCTGGATGTCTGTGCCGCCCCATTCTTGAGGTCAAGATGACTGATTCTTGATTCTTCTCTCTGATTGGTCAATTGATGGCTCTTCCATCTTTCACAGTCGAAACTCAAATTGGCAAAAATAACATAGCAGTCTATGGGGAAAATGTGAATTATTAACTCAAAATTTTGACCTTTACATCAAATGTGCCTGAAATTTCACTGTTGAAGTGCTTTGAACATTTCCCACACTGTACTGAAATGGTTTTAGTTATTATTTCTGTCACGTTGCTGCCAAAAAGGAGGAAAACATGCAAATCCCTGTACAAAGTGAATGGAGAGTTGACCAGACGTGGGTGTAATAAATGGAAAAACCTCCAACCACGAGAATTCCTCAGACAGAATCAATTTGGCATGTTCAGGGTGTTTGGAAATTGTAAGAATTTATCACATTAAATTTTAACTTTCAGAATTTATCAGAATAATAAAGTTTTACAAATACACATCAGAAATACTACATTCAGCGACAATAACAAAATAAACCAGACTGAATAAATGCGTAATGACCGTCCGGAAACTGGGCACATTACATTACCGGCACCTTCTTGCAGCACGCATGTCATCGTGCCTGCATCATGCTTTGATTAACTGACATGACTGACTATTTTCATCAACAAATATACGAGTAAAATTAACCCTCTGTTATCAAATACAAATGTTTGTAGTCAGATTTAAAAGTTACTGTACTTTATAATGTTATTTCAGACAGGAAATATGGAACGCTACTGTCATATTTAAGAGCACAATCTCAAGAATTATGGACAACTTTCGACCACGCTTTACCATGATTAAGGGTCGGCACGAAAGAGACCGAGGTGACGTCACGCCGCTACAATAACTTTTGACCAACAGAGGGCGATGTTGCGCGAAAACATGGTCTACTTAACTTTGAAACGATAATGTCTACCAAAAAATGCTGTTCGCGCCCTTCTTTTGGTGATTTGTGCGCGAATTCAGAGAGATACATTCTCTTTTTATCATTTGAAAAGCTTTATGGTAAGCATGTCGTTCAAACTTAAAGGTTATGTATGATACTCCCAAAAAGCTCCGCTTATAACAACTCTTCATCCTGTTCGCATGCCACTGCCCACGTCCGGACAAATACACGTTCGTGTATATTGCGGTGCACGTGCCATGTGTACATGTATGTTGTGACCTGATTGGGCAGGCAACTGGCGCGGCCTAGCTGGCCGTGGACATGGTCATGATGGTTTGGTAGCCTATGTTTTGGGTTTTCGGGAGCAGCTGGGGGGGGGAGATTTGCCTTCCATAACTCAAGGGCCTAATAAGTAATAATGAGTGATTGCTCAGCAGTGGCCCCCTTCTCAGGAAAAAAGAATTCTTCGCTCAATTTTGCTCGCCAGGCAGAAGTTTCCAAATATCTCAAATGCTGTAGGCCTAGTGTTGAGTATGGAGATGCATTTCATGTCAGTTTTGTTACTCTCAAATTACCAAATTTCATATCATACATGTATGTTTGCATTACAACTCGTAGGTGATAACCAGGAACCACTGAATTCATTGCTGCAAGACGTCTTGTTGGACCTCTCCAAACGTGACAGTCGATGTGGTGAGATCATCCTCTCTATATACAGATAGCTCATCACTTTTCCTAACTCATGAAACTCGTTCTGTTGGCCTACTGCAGATGTGGAGTGTTGTTGTCGTTTGCTGATCATTTGCTGCTTTTCGGTCTGTCCGGATACTGCAGGTAATCTTAGCATTCCAGAGAGAAAGTGTCACTTTGCTGTTGTCGATCCCACCTCCTGCCGAAACGAGCATGCCGATTGGTTGGCCGTTGACGACGTCCATAGGAGCTCGCCCTCTAAGAACGGTGGAGGGTCATCCAGCAGGATGGCTGAATTGCAGGACACGGGGGAGAATCTTGACTTAAAGGAAACTGACGGAGTGAGCACAGAGTGAGTTCAACCTCCTGGAAAGATAGGAAAAATGGCGTTTATTTGGTTATCTTTACATAATTTATATAACAGGACAAGCACTGAGCATACAGTGTTTATTAATATGTGTGTTGGGCAAGGGCAAAACCTGTTATATAAATTAACATCTCCCCAAGGCAAAAATACATCTTGAAAATATTTGGTTATCTGGCAAACTTAAGAATGTCAAATTTGACTAGATCATTTCAGTCTAGAATTATTAGGTTTATTGAAAAGATTTGGGGAGAACCAGGCAGTACGAAATCCACCGACAGCTGTTCGTTACCAGTGAAGGAAGCAATTACAATCAACTATCTTGCTTAGGGACACAACCTGCAGTAATCCCCAGGCTGGAGGGAACCCATATTTGAATTTATCCCCCAATTCTATAAAAGTTGGGTAAGGTGTTACTGTAAAACTAAATTAGTGTCGTTTTTTTCCCTCTAGTGAATTGGATTTTAGATTATCCGAGAGGATCCATGCTCTGGCAGACAAGCTTCCTCTTATCGGTGAGTTTTAATGTCAGCTGAAGTCTCAAAGCCTCCTTGAACTGTTGTATTTTCTAATTGTGCTGGTTGGAAATTGATTTTAAAACAACTGTTCTTTGTGTTTTACAGATGAGAAACTGTCAAGTTAGGTTTTTGGACCGGGATTGGATTTAATTTACCACTTTGAGAGGCTCAGTCCACAACACATTCCATTCATTTTGGTGTTTGAAATATTTACTCTGTCCGCAACCTTAAAAAGTATTTCATATTCCAACACTGGATTCCACTTATTCTAAATTAGGATGCCAATTAACTTGTTGGGCTGTACACTGGATATGATATTAGATAACTACGTAGTTGTTCTTGGGTTGACTCCAAGAAGAAAGAAAAATCATTGGGTGGGAGTTAGGGTTGTTCAAATTTTTTGCTGTCCGTTTTACGGCAGGGCATTATTTTGACATCGTATGGCTCACAACATCCAGAACCAACGTGCCAATTACCGATCATGTTTCGCTCTACGGCGCGCTGCAGCGCCTCTGCTCCTGGCATTCCGGGCTTCTCACCGTAGTCTGTGACGACGCGAGTCCTAGGGAACCCCCCCACGACACCCTGAACGACTGGGTGAACTGTCTCCAGGGGAGAGTGGCGAGGGGTGCAGAATCAGTCGCGGAGGCAGTGGGTCGGGGCGTGGCCTGGCAGGGGGAGGTGGTTCTTGCTGATGGGAAGGTGAGATAAGGTTTGACTATTTCCACTCTGTCAGTTGTATGCATCCCTGTACCACCATGTTGTCCAAATGCTGAGAACAGAACAGAAATATGCTGCGCTACGCATGAAGAGATTGCCATGAAAAAATGTCAAGAAACATTAACGTCGTTGGACAAGTAGTCTCACAATAGTTTCACTTGTTAGAAAGTGGAGTTTTGTTGTTTGTCGGAATGTTCTCTTTTTTTTAATTTTTCCTCCCCATTTTTGTGGTTTGTCTGTCAAAGGGTTCCGAAAGTATTTGTCATTTGTCAAAGATACCAATGTCTAAGTTATCGACTTGATGGAAATCAGGTAGCACACTTTTAATTATATATAACAGGTTTGCCCTTACCCAACGTATATTAATATAATTAATATACGTTGGGTATTAATATACGTTGGGTAAGGGCAAACCTGTTATATATAATTAACATCTCCCCAACGCAAAAATACATCTTGAAAAATGTAGCACACTTTTGTTTTCTTTTTTTCCAGGGACAGAAATCTTTACGTCTTCCTGGCTTTGTCCTGGATTCAAAGCTCAATGATGACACGACATTTCACGTCCCGGAAGCTGCCGTCATCCAAATCTGTGCGTCCCCCGAAGGGAAGCCATTAAAAACACAGGCAACCAAAAACGTAGGAACCACACATTCCCTGATAAAGTTTGAGTACCTTGCAGAATCCTTTGAATGCTCACGCTAAGTTCTGTTGGGTTTTCATGGGTTTGGGACCTCGGAACCCTGACTCTATCACTTTACATTGACACGCCAATTCAATTTAGGTACAGATAATGTGGCATTCCTTCACTGTACAGTTTGGGAATCTGAAGCAGTTGGAGATCCTTTGATCCTCACTTCGAGCAATAAAAGGACTACAAACTTACAGCCTTGAATTTTTTTTTAAAATCTATTTTCCACAGACCATTACTTTTTCAAGACAGTTGGAAGTTGTCTGTTGTGTCTGCCGATCGGATGTTCCCAGTCAGTTTATTTCTCCTCTACAGCTGTCACTGTATCCTTTGAATGAAATTGTCCCCTGCGGAAGAGTTGTTATTGCCACTATTAGTAATCAAATATAGTCTTTTTGTTTTTAATAGTGACATGCACATTTGTAGCATTTTCTGTCGAGTTAACTTTGTAGTGTTCTGAGCAGACAGCATCTTCCAGTCATTTGGTGTTTTGACCTTTGACTCCCTGACCCAGACACCTCTTGCCGGGCAGTCGCCTGCCTAGATCCGAACATTTTCTGCATTGGTTGTCGGAGGTGAGCCGGTCAGAAGATGCGGCTATCATCATGAGGCTACCCTGTAGGACCCTCACGCCAAGTGCTCGCTCCAGCCGCAACGCCAGGCCGACCAGTACCAAGGCTTGGAGGGAGCACATCAAGAACTGTAGGGGTGACATAAAAGGTGCGAATTTACACCCGAACTGTTGAACATGTGACATTTCAGACCTTCAAGATTGTGTTGGCCGTTTGGAAGGCATTTAAACTTTAAGGATAACCTCCATTTACTTGTCAATTTCATGTTCTTGTGAAAAGCAAATTGCCCACAGAGCTTCTAAAAAAGGGACAAAAATTCAGAAGTTAGCCGGGAGCGGTAGTTTAACCATTCAGTCCAATTTTAAAAAAAATTTGAACCTTTGTCAGTTTGGCTTTCTCAACTTTCTCTGCAGTACCAGACTTGCATCTGACAGAGAGCCAAGAATTCTATTACCTCCTTGTGCATGGTGACAGGGAACTCGGTCAAACTGTTGTGGCTCACGTGATGTACTCACCTGGTGATCTGAGCGCCGTAGTGCACGCTCAGCTGGCCGAGTACCAAAGGTCACTCACATTCGATGGTCAGTCATTTTTGAATCTTATTCTTTTTGGAATTTTTTGGATGATAATCTTTTTTCCCGTTAGCTTAATTTTTCTCCAACAAATTGTATAATTAATAAATATTAGTCACATTTAACTCTCGAACTATTAAATACACCTGTATATCGAACATTCTTTCATTTGCCGCTGTTTCCAAGAAGTTGTTGTTTTTATCATATTCCTCAGACCAGCATGGCGCTAGAACTGTGCTGAATGCCATCCCCAGTCTGGATGGTAGTCAAGTCCAGACCTTACTGGAAACAATCAAGTCTGCCCAGGCCGACTCAATCAAGACATTCCTGGGTAAGTCTTTGTAGTTCTTTGCCAAGGTTTCGATTTTTTCCCCCTGAATCCCAGCAAGGCCTGGGATTTGGAACATTTTCACAAAGGAGTAGACTTCAGATTACACCTTTTATACCAGTCTCACTGAATTGTGAAAGGTTTACTACCTTAGAAAACCATGAGAGGTAGGATGTTCTGATCATTTTCATTAATTTTTTTTTTTAAGTCCATGAAAATCGTGTTAATGATAAGATTTAGAGAGATAGGCGAAAGATTCATTATTGCATCTAGAATATAGTTATGACACTGGAGAATAGTTTTGCCAGTGTTGATTGTCAACATGCTATTCACATAGGTGATTGTTATTTTTGGCAACCAAATATTCTGCCGTTAACAGAAGAAAGGAAGTCAGAGGGCAGGGAACCGACTATGACCTGCATGGAATTGCAGCTTCTGTTGGGAACCGTCTTTTCCACTGCCATGGCTGAAATAGACAAACTTTCGACAGAGAGCAAAGCACACGATGAAACATACTCCGAGGGTGACTTGAAAAACGGAAATGTCGTATCAGGTAAAAAAAAGAAACATAAATGGTCTTCATCGTGACTTTTTTCATCACTGTAACCATCGTTTGCATTTTAAAAATGCTTTTCATTTTAATTTCTTCACTGTGATTGAGAGTGACTCTGCTATTTGGAATTTCATCGCACATGAAAGAGAAACCAGAAACCCAACCTTTTGATTCGTTTCAGGCCAGTTGAAGGCACAGAAATATTGTTTTAACAAAACGTGGTTGTGCCCATTTGCCAAATGAAATGACTTCAAATGGGCCAGACATGATGGTTTGGTTTGGTTTGGTTTGGCAGAAATTGATTGCAGTCCATCACACTGGCTGGAGAAACTGGCTCTGCAGAACCACGAGGCCGCTGAGCGAAGAATCAAACGCTTCAAGTCGGGCGAGCTGATGCTGGCCGGAATGGCCGTGCCCGCCCCTGCCAATAACAGTGAGTGTTGAACCTCGACCGTAACCCTCCCGGACCATTCGAAATCCAACAGGAAGGGTCAAGGAATATTCGTTTGTCAGATTGAGGAAGCCAGAGCCCAGAATTACTGCTTTACACGTAGCTTGATTCCCTGTGAAACTTTGAAGTTCAGAGAAGGTGCCGTTGGTTTCCTTCTCTCTGAAGGATTTTGGAGGAATCAGGAAGACTCCATGCAAGTGACAGTGCGTTTAATTCTGCAGACGACATGCGTGGATACCACCTGCCTTGGGAATTTCAGACAAGAATTGTACCTCTGGTGTTGCATTGCTGGAGAATTTTCCCTTTTCGGACAGCACAGTAGGAAATATAAATGTTTACCAGTGTCCATGCTTTATCATTTCTTTCTTTTTCTCATGGACTAGCCATCGCCTTGACTGCAGAGGAGTTTCTGAAGCATTTTCAAGCCAGCGGTTTGCCCAGTGCAGAGGATCTCTCCCCAGTCTCCGTGGCAACGGGAGACAGACCATCTGGCCTGAGTGCAGGAAAGAACCCTCCCAGCCTGCCCTGTGGTGACCTCAAGAAGGCTACATTTGAGGAGGCGCAGAAATACACCGTCCCCGGAATTCAGTCAGTGTCCAGTTCCTCCTTCTCTGTTCTGTTTTGTACATGGACATCCCATTGCATCAACTGTAGTATCCAGTCGAAATGTTTGTAGACATGGGCTTGCCAATCGTAGTGTTCTTATTGGAAACGGGGTCCAACCAAAGATATCTGGTTATGTAGATTCTGCTGTAGTGACTTTCTCTGAGCTGACTCTCAGTTGGTGGATAAATGTGGTGGGCATATTTTGTCTCAACGGTCTCGGCAAGAACTGAGGCTTTGATTGATTTTTACGATGCTTTCCATCAGGTATTGTTTAGACTCTGGGCCCAGCCAGCAGATGGACAGCCGCTTCTCCAAGATGCAGCAGCGCTACATCCGATACGAGACGGCATCCACCTGTTCCTCCGATCAAGCCGCCTCCCCGGCAACCCTGACCATCCCTCAGCCGTCTTCCTCCACAACCGATTCTGCCACTGCTACCGTTAATTCCACTTCTGCCTCCAGTAGTCCCACTTCTGCCACCGCTAAGGTGAATAGTCATCTCCAGAGGGACAGGCTCAGTGGCAGGGGCCAGCGGTTGGCTGAGAAAGCCCGCAGATCAGCGGAAAAGGGACAGAGGTCGGTGGACAAGGGTCAGATGTTGATGCGGGTTCAGAGGTCAGCAGAGAAACGTCGGAGGATGGTGCTGGAGAGAAACCACAGGATCAGCCCAGGGAGGTCTCTTAGCAGAGGCCTGAAGAGGAAGGGGCAAGACACAGCGTCAGTCTCCCCGGCAAAGAAAAGGTACATCTCAATCAAGGCTGTTGCCCTTCTTTTTTTGCCCTTGTGGTTTCTAACATGCTGTAAAAGTTCACCAAGTGAAAAATATTGTTGAAAGATTAGAAATCAGCTAAAGAAAAGCTCGAAGGAGAACGTCAAAGCAGTCGAAGCCAGAACTATCAACACTTTGATTCACCTGCCAGTTTGTAGCCAGTCCTCACCCAGTCTTTGCTTTTCTTTTCTTTCTTTCTTGGGCATGCGCTTCACACTTTCAGGCCGATACCGACTAGAAAATCTCCCCGCAAAAGAGTTTCATCAATCCAGGTTCAGGAGGGGAAGCCCCTGGCAGAGAAGACAAACAAGGACTCCTGCCATGCCTCGTCGTCGTCGTCATCTTCCAGCTCAAAATCACAAGCGATGTCACGTTCCCAGAGGACAAGAATGGTAGGAATATCATCTCATTCCTACATGCAGTATCCTGATGAGTCAGTGCCGTGTTGTACAAGTGAAAGATTTCAAGCTAAATTTTGAGGCCCCAAGAGGCTAGGATAAGAGAGCGGATAAAGTTAAGCTTGATGACTTGGAGTAGCGATGCACAAGATGGTGGAATTTTGCAGTTCTAATAAACCACATTTCTCAGCTTGTTGAACTTCAAAAAAAGGTTCAAAACAATATCTGAACTGGAGCTGTTGGATGGCCTATATTATCCCATCCTAGAATGTCCCGTCTCGTTTTATTGCTCAACACAGAAACTAAGGGTGATTGTCAAAGAGTCGCTCGCGAGCCGGGGAGTCACCAAAGGGAGTAGGTGCTACGAAGCGTGCATCGAGCGACTGTACAAGATGGCAGAGATGTATGTCAAGGTACGTGGGGTTCTGAACAGACCCTGAAAATCAGTCTGTAAAAATTAACGCAGTGTCTGCGTCCTATTGCTGGAGCTCCACTCTTTTAACGCGAGTCGTACATCTTAAAATGTCGTGAATTTAGAGGCAGGTGCAGTTTATGAACACTCTGTTAGAATCAAGATTTCACACCCTCCTTTCCTTAATAAACAGCCTACTTTGAAAGGATTCCAATTTTTCATCTCCTTTTCCTCAGGACTTGAAAACATCCCGGGGCCTGAACGAGCAGATGAAGAGTATAGCAGAGGCCAACGCAGACTTCGTGGTGCAGTTCGAGCAGAACAGAATCAAGAATTCCTGAGACAAGAACCAGTCGCGAGTGGTCAGCTGGAGAAGAGTTGACCCGTGGGAAGATTCAGAAAGAAGTCGCAAAGCTGACGGCGAAATTAGAAGATTAGGACATGTAGACTGTGCGAGGCCCATCACACAAAGGGCAGGTGGAGTGTAACCCTCCGGCAGTGAGGCTTTTTATCTGACCCTGGCCTCAGTTTCAGATGCCGTGACTCCAGGTCAGTGCTTTGTTCTTGGCTGGGTAAAATCGACACGCGACCACGTTTATCTAAACAACTGTTTAGATTTTCGCGGTCAATTTTGCTGTTTCAAAATTTCGATCCTACAAAAAAATACTCATTCGTCGTCATCTGCTCAGAGCACTTTTAACGCAAGTGTCCATCCGAGACCAGAAACGTTAAAAAAAAAAAAAAAGACAAGATTTCAGGGGAGACTATACATTTCATGACTCAGGCCATCACCGGTCATCACTCAGCAAGACTGGATTTCAAGTATTATGAACTAGTTACAGCTTACACCTCAGGGCTTGGTTACAAGGGTTCTACGTTAGTGCCCCGAACCATCTATGCACCGAGTGGATAAAGTATCGACTTGCACCTTAATGCCCTAAACATCAGGGATCTAGAGTACCAAAGCATGACATCATTTGAATCAGGACGTGTAGCGCACTGGTTATTGTGCTGATTTCTTTTGTACAAATAACTCTGTGCACGACGTATTCACGTTACTACTCTGTAGACATTTCATCTATGCAATTCGAGCCCATGTTTAATTTCGTGCTTGATTTTTTTTCCAATACTAATTTCATCACCTTCCATGTATTATTGTAAGGCCATGTTGGAATCACTTGACTTTAGCTTACAACTATAGACGAATTTGGCGCGAGCCACAGCCAAGCAATTCCAAGTAATTGGCCTAGTCGAAGTAAACATCTGCATTTTTTTTGAAGATTTAAAATGAAGGTGCACATATTTACTTTTTTACCATCGAGGAAAAAATTAAAATTACGAGTGCTCATTGAGCTTGTTTGTTTGTGGGTGTATTTGTTTATTTTTCCCAGGAAATTTTCCAGCTTGCGATTTCACCGTATGTCAGTGTTTGTCAAGCATTCTGTCTTTACTAAAGGTTACTCAGCCCTTTAGTAAATCTAGGTACTACCAAAAACGGAATTTGTGAAACAACTGTAATCAAGAACACACCGAACTCCCCCCGAGATAAAACCTTCAAAGCACTCATTTTATTTTTCTTTCACACAGTGACCAAGCAAAATATAGTTATAAGACAAAAATCCTGTTTTTGGGAAGTGTTAACATTTCTATGTACAAACAGGAACATGGCATGGAATGGTTTACAACAGGACGGAGATTGAAGCTTTTAGTAATGCAGTTCATTTGCATATTTTAATCTTAGGAAAATCCAATCATTAAGATACAAATTCCATTGGTTATACAGTGAATATGGACGGATACCAGTATACCATTAATGAATAATTAAAAAAGCAATTCAACATTCAGTCGTAAATTTCTCATGTATATCAATTTATTAGATGAAGGAAACCTTTGGAGAAGTACTACCTAGAAGTACCTAATTTATTAGGTTCTAATCAACTGGAAATATTCTGTCTCATAAAAATTAAGGCCCAATCAAATATTTACAAGAAGTAATGGCATTTTTTTACACAATGCTCTAATTTACACAATACAGAAACACAGCATACTAGATGTTAGACACCAAGTGCCTTCCAGAAAACTTCGAAACGCAGTTTCCGTGGCAACAAATTCCTGAACGATAAACTGCTCCCTGTTTTAAAACTCAGGATGGACTTTTAGCTCAAATTGTTATTAATTAGTAAAAATGCACAAAATACTTCATAACCTGTACACACACATAATGCTTTGTGAAGACTTGGAGTGACTTTCATATTATTAACAGGCAAAGAATCCGGTGAATATAATACCTTGTGTCTACATGTACTAATATTTGTGCAGTCCATGGAAGTCTCTATTTCTGCATGATACCCTTTTCTGGGGCAAATTCTCCTGAAGTCAATATGTTCCTTGTGAACATGTATTTCTTTGGTTTCCATGGAATGGACGGATGTTGGCAGATGATGAAATTGGAGTCCGAGAGAAGAAACTGAAGTAAACTAACACCTTAAATTATTTTGATTATTGCAAAACTTCATATCTTTTGTAACTGAAATCTGTGTGTCTATAATACATAAGATGAATGACCTTGTTGAAAACCTCATTAGATGGGTCAGTACGTAGCTCAAGGTGTAACTCCTTTCAGGTAGAACGTCCAAGCTACGTTGGCGTTACCACCGGCCGACCGTGGGCAGGTCACTACCAGCTTGCCCATCTTGGGGGCCTTGCTGGGGTCGGGGTTCCCTTCGTAGCCCACGATGATGTTGTGCTGCTTCTTGCCCCGGATGCTCTCGCCGGGCTTGCAGGAGAAGGCCGGGTTGTCCACCTGGAAGGTGAAGGCGGTGGTGTGGGGGAAGATGTTGCGGAAGGGGATGGAGGTGGTGGAGCCAGCCTTGACCGCGTAGGGGCCCTGGGGCTTCGGCGGGATGCAGGTGCCAAAGAGCGGAAAGGTGTACTCGCCGCCCACGCTGGAGGCCACCGTCAGGTGGCCCCGGGTCTCGCCCAGACGCGACGGCTCGAAGGTGATGTCGATGCTGACCTCTGAGCCCCCGCTGGAGCCTGGTGCAGCCGTCAGGTTCTTGTCGGAGTGGAAATCGCTGTTGTCAACCTAATGCACAGAAGCAGAAAACACTTGCTTTGCAGTCGTCTATACACAAGTATTGCAACTGAGTACACCTCCACGAGGATGAGTATGAGTAACGTCTGCAGGAGTATCACTGCATTTTTATGAGTACAATTACTTCTGCATGAGTACAGGTACATGGAAACCTTCCTTGGATTAAAGTAAACAGTATAACAAAAGTTTCATGAGTATGAGTACCCAAATAGTACTCCAGCATGAGTACAAGTCCTACCAAACTGATATAATCTGTACAAAATCTTGTCAATCAACTAACACCTTTACAGCATTACACTGCAATGCACACTGTATTCATTTCTTTGTAAATCCACCCAAAACATAGAGTGCTTGGGCAATAGTAGGTGAAAGGAGTCACACGCCGAGTGGTTCCTAGCAGTAAAATGACGACACGCTTAAAATGCATAGTGCTGTTTGCATAGAAAAATTCACTTTGTAGAGTTTCAGGGTGAAACTTTCAAAGCTGGTGTAAATCAAATACCTCCAATAAGAAAATGATAATGGACATGCCCTTGTTATAAAAGAAAAGTGCTAATGTGCATGGATGTCAACATTATCCAACATGGTTGAAGATGAAACAATACATCGTGATGGCAAAATTGCAGACGACATGCAAACACCTCTGAAAAACACACATTTCTGGCAAATAAACTAAAGACTTGAAACCTTGAATCCTATCTGGTCACACAAACCACAGAGAGACATCCTTCAAAGAACTGGCTGAGTTGGTGTGACTTCCCTGACCCACCTTGCAAGTGTACTCTGTTTTGACCTTTGCGAAGTTGACGAAGCGGGCCGTCTGCTGCTGGTTGCCGCCCAGCGGCGCCCGGAAGTACACGGCCTTCTCCGGTCCCGCCGCTGTGGCCGTCAGCACCAGGTCGTACTGGAACATGCCCAGCTCGGCGCTGCTCAGCTGCAGCTTGCTGTGAGTGACGCCCGTCTTCAACGGCAGGAACTCAAAGCTCAGGGAGCCCTGGAGCAAGACGAGAAAAGAGATGTTGACGTCGTGCGATCTCTGTGACACAAAACATCAGTCTTCTCTGGAACTTACCAGACATTCAAATACTTTGCAACCAAGTTGAAGTATGTTGTACATGGAACTCCAAGACATTTCTACAGTCAAAATGTTCCACAGGAAATCTTTGCAGTTTGTTTCTGGGAGTAAGGGAACAATGCCAAATGAAATATGGAACAATTCCAAGTTTACATTTTACCCTCAGGTACCTGTAAGCCTCTGTAGAACCTAGTACAACCTCAAGATGACCCCAAGTATAATTGTACATTCTCTCGTAACGGCCAATGTTGAAGTGAACCTTTTTTATCCAACAACTACTTTGCTGAAGTCCGTTTGAGCGTACTTTCACTTCTCGACTATTTAACTTGAGAGTGTAAAAAAGGCAGGTCAAAATTAGCAGTCCTACATCAACTTTGGGGAGAAAGGGGGTGAGTAGGCAAACTGTTTTGTGACAAATATCTGTCTTGGTCGGCATCAGGTTTTAGAAATTCTGGCAACTTGGTGTTACGATGCATAGAGAAGCTTGACAAGGATCGGTCAACCCCACCAAAGCAACAAGGAGCTAGTAATGCAGATTTCTTTTAACAATAACAGTTGTATACAGTGCCAAAATCCATCAAAATAAAACTCAAGGTGCATAATAATAAAATCAAATCCTAACAAAATATAACAAACTTCATTCAAACAAACAACAATGAAAGCTATTTATTTATTGATTGATATCTGTTCATCCAACAGCGCACTCAGCGCCAGTTACAGTGTGAAGTGATCATCGAGAAGACATTCAAGAAATGTCCAGTTTTAGAGATGGGGGGAAAACACTGGATAAATGGTCCAGGGAAAATCTACAGAATCAGGCAGGGACTGAAAACCCAATCCACATGCTGACCGAGGTGGGATTCGAACCCCGGTCGCAGAGGTAGAAGGCGAGGAAAGAGCCACTACACTAACCCGGCTCCCCCAGTTGAAATATTGACAAATATCTGACACAACTATTGTAGCTTCATGCGTCTCCCACAGTACACGCGTACACATGACCGGATCACTTCAGTCTCCAGAATTCCAAGAGAGCTCACCTCTGACTGTGGAGGCACCACCAGCTGAGGGGGCAGCATGACGTCGGCGACGGGGCAGTTAGTGGTGAAGGTGACGGGCACGGCCAGCGGGTTGTCCAGGCAGATGGTGTGGGAGGTGCTGAGACGGACCGGTGTGGTCATGGCGATGGTGTCCATGATGCCCGGCGCCGTGCTCTTGAAGGTCACGTAGTAGAACTGGAACTCGCTCGTCACTTCGTTGCGGAAGATGACCTGCGAGAGAAGGGATGACACGTCAACGCAACAACCTGAAACTATGTGGAGGAGGTCACCATGTCAAGAGAGGACCGGGCCGACAGTAGACGGAGGAGGTAACCGCATAGAGGGAGGAGTGGGCCAACGTGTAGGAACAGAGTCTCTCCTCGGATTCACTGAAATTTCAAAAGATGTATCACTCGACGTATCTTTCAAGAGGACCTTTGTTGATTTCTTCCAAATGACAACGTACACGATGGAATAGCTTCAAAGGGATGGCCATTACTATCTTTTAACCATGTCTGATTGTTACAAATTTTGTCAGATTTTTTGGGGGATAGCTGCAAATGGTCCACAACACCTTTCACTCTAACCCTCTTGCAACCATTAAAATCCTACTCAGAGATTTAGGGGGACTTTATTGGATAGAGGAAGGCAGAGCCAAACCGCTACTGCTATGCACTGGGTTTGACGATCCCAGTAAAGTACAAAGCATTTGCCACTGTTTCCCGTGAAATGAAGGCTTCAGGGTGGCTGTAGAAAGATTCCCGGCAACAACATGCCACGGCAGGAGTGTTCAAATCCAGCCTCTACTCACCTTGGCCGAGTAGGAGGCCTCCTTGTGGCAGAAGAAGTTGAGCTTGTAGTCCCTCTTGCTGTGGCCCGGCACGTCGATGTAGTCCAGCCCCTTCAGCGTGGTGGCCGTGTCCAGCTTGTCCGGTTTCATCATCTCAATCACCACCTTGAATCTGTGGGAGGGGGGGAAGACAATCGACGGAGCATTCAGCTGCCAATTATTAGAACCTGACTCCAGGAAAACAAGCAATCTGACAGCTTGTAAAATGGAAACATGACAGTGCCACAAAGAAAGCAGCACGACACACTTCAAAATTAGCACGATCATGACGCACGCGGCGCAAATGGAGATTTCTAGTTCGCAAGTCCCAATTCCAGTTGAAATCGCGCTGCCTGTACTTGGGAAGTTCACACTTGAAAGTTGAATCTCAGTTGTCACATTTTTTGTGTGGATTCAGGACACCATTTGAATCATTGGTATATCAAGAACTCCCCTTTCACCATTTGAATCATTGGTACATCCTACATCCAGAATTCCCCCCCCCAGATATATTCACAATTTTTTAGCTTTAGGGTATAATTTTTTCTCTTAGTTGAAATAATCAGCACGTAGAAATGATACCATCAACTTTCTTTGGTGATGGGGGGGGTTCTTTTACAAATGAAAAAAAATTAGACAGTCATTTGGGGAAAACAATTCAAATTTGCCACTCGCATTCTGACAACAATCACGCTTCCTTCCACCATAAAATGCCCAACAGTGAACCCACCTCTGAGGCCTCTTGAGCCAGTTGGAGACTGACAGCAGCTCTGTGTAGTAGGTCTTGCTGGGCACCTCCTTGTTGACGCTGCCCGCCGCCTTTGGAGGCTCGGACACGCCCGTCAGATTGTACAGGAGCCCCGAGCCATCCGGTAAGGCGAAGAAAACCGTCCCCTGCAGGAAAAGGAGTTTAAGACAATTTACTGAGGTATCCGGTGAGGCACAGAATACCGTGCTCTGTGAGAAAGGAATCAGTTTGAAAATTACGGAGCCATCGAGTAAGGTAAAGAATACTGTCCCCCAGCAGGTAAAGGGACCCTAACAAATCACTGAGCTATCCGATGAGGCAAAGAATGCTGTCCTCCGTATGAAAAGGAACATGATGTTCGGTGAGAAATCAAGGGAAATGTAGCATGGAAAGACATCTGAGTGAATGGGCACTCATCAACTATGTGAGACTTATGAACTGGATGCAGGCATCCCAAGACCAACCAACTCACCGTGTGCTTCTTCCCCTCGGCTGTCATGATCAGTGGCCGGTAGGTCATCTCGTAGGGCTTGCTCTGCTGGGGCTCCAGGACGATGGAGTCTCCCCCCGTCCAGTGCTCGCCCTCGATGACCGGCCGCAGCTCCCAGCGCTGGTTGGTGCGGTTGTGCAGCGTCAGGCTGCGGGTGTCCTTGACTCGGACGTGGGTGTTGAAGTGTAACACCTCCTTCTGGGGCTGGCTGCCGACGCACATCCCCGTAAGGACCAGGCGTAGAGGACGACCGCCCTCAATGTGGCATCGCAGCTTCTGTTGATGAACAAGAAGAAAAATTTTTTGGTAATATTTGTACTAAATATAAAGAAATAACTGATTTCGATGTCCTGACGGTCTGGCATTGCCCAATGATTTCTACACAAAACTTCCACCGATTAGACATTAATATTGAATTTGACAGTAGATAAGCTGTACTTTGTACAATTTTAAGTATATTCTGGCAGTGTTATAGTTAAGGCCATCACAAGTCCTTTCACAAGACCAGTGCTATGGTGACAAAGCATTGGGATGCTTGTGTGACCATTCCTTTGAGTAGCTTGTGACTTAAGACCGGATGACCTGTGATTAACTTGTGCTGGACTTTGCAGGGACTTGGGAGGACTTTGCAGGGACTCGGGATGGACTTGCAGGGAGTTGGGATGGACTTGCAGGGACTTGGGATGGACTTGCAGGGACTTGGGATGGACTTGCAGGGACTTGGGATGGACTTGCAGGGACTTGGGATGGACTTGCAGGGACTTGGGATGGACTTGCAGGGACTTGGGATGGACTTGCAGGGACTTGGGATGGACTTGCAGGGACTTGGGATGGACTTTGCTGGGTATGCAAGATATGACCTTGGTCATATTCCACTCTTGATACTCGACAAATTATGAGTGATCTTAGCTTGCTTAGTCCAGTAACCAGGCATTTTTGTAATTCATTTTTGGCTAAAAATGGTCTAAATCTCCTTGTGATTGTAGAACCCTGTGTCTGGCTTCTTGGTGTGACAAAGTAAGCAATGTGGGTAGGCCACTTGTACTTTTTGCACAGAGACTCTAAGGAAATCCAGCTTTTTGGGGACTTACATCGTAACGGATATCCTGGCTCAGCTCCTTGGGGAAGAAAGTGACTTCAAAGGGGACCGTCATGCCTGGGGAGATGTAGCCCTCGGTTGGGTTGATGGAGAAATCGGGAGCAAACTTCTCCACATTCCATTTGAAACTGGAAAATAGAAATTCATGCAATACAGCCTGGCATGTCTAGTTCCCGGCACTCACGGCACATGCCACTGTGCTGGTTTCACATAACAGATAAAGGTAACCACGCTGTCATTTTATTTTAGGAAGCTTCAAAATAAACTCTAGAATTTTTCACAACAACACAAGAAGGCTGGGTGTAACAAAGATCTCTGCTGGAATCCTTGCAGACTTTTTCGTCCACTAACCTACAATTGATGCAATTAGCAAGAAACAATACCTGAACGGCAATTGAAGCATGCCCTTCCAGTAATTTCTTTTGGAATATGAGTCCTTCCAATTTGCCAGAGAGAATTTCAGAGGGCTGAGGGGGCTCCGTGGGTGGTGAGGTTACGTTCTTACCCTGCTCCTATGTCACCAGTGTTGCACATGAGAAGCTTGCGCGTGGTGCTGCTGCGCTGGACCACGGCTCCGAAGGGGATGGACTCCTGATCCAGGCTGATGTCGATCCCCTGGCAGGAGCCCGTCACAACAAACAGTGGCTGCGACAGGCCGGCGCACTCCAACATCACCTGGAACGGAGGTTAGGAAGTGTAAACGATTTGAAGAGTTTCACTGCGAGGTGAACCGTGGAAGATTTGCATTCGATTCTGTTGAAAACTATCGCAACATCCTGAATCAAAAATGTTGAGTCTCTATCAAAACATCTTATAACGGTCAGAAGTTTTGTCCTGACGTCACCAAAAGGCTGCAGGCTAAACTGTGGAAAGGAAATTAAACCAAAGAAGAAAACAGGCGGAAAATAAACATCACAACACTGACCAACCAAGATGACCTCCAAGATCAAGTGCCCTTACCAGGGTGAAAATAGGGGATTTAAATGACCTCAACCTTGTTTTTCTCGGTGTGACGCGTCCACCAACCGCACTAATAGGAGAGTCCATATCACATCCAAATCGCTTGCAATATTGCTGCTCACGGTCGGGCACAATGGTTAATGCGGATGGTCAAGCTGAAGGTTCCCATGCTGTTTGACGTGGATTGTGCGGGGACTCTTCTCCGACCCCGTTCCCCTTGTTCCATCCCCTCCCCCTCGTCCTTACCTCCTCCGTGAACTGTGGGATCCGACACTTGGGCGCAAAGACCAGGTCCAGGTTGCAGCTGCCCCCCTTGGGCTTGAGATGGATCTCCTTGGTGGGCGCCAGGGACAGCACCTGGGGCAGCTGCTGCAGGATGGGGCTGAGCGGGGTGATGACCACGCTGAAGGCCAGCGGGGCGGGGCTATTGTTGACCACCGGCACGGTGCGCTTGACCGCCTCGCCCACGCGCAGGGCGCCGAAGTTGACCAGCCTGTCCTTGGCGTTGGCCACCTCCACTCGCATCTCGGTGCCCTCGCCCAAAATTTCAACCTGGGTTGGGGTGAAACCAGATCAAGAGGCTTACTGCATTTTAACCAACTTTGGAACTGGCTAAGAATTGTGGAACAATAAAGTCTCTTGATTTTTCTAACCCCAAAATTTTTCGATGACAGGAATTTTGCCTCAAGACAATGAAATTAGTTTTCCTTGGTTTTTTTCACTTATCCACATTTTTTTAAACAGGAGATTTCAATGCTCTTCTTGAGAATTAACGGTTGTTGTCTTCAGAAAACCGATGCAAAACAATTTACTGACTCCAACGACAGAACTCAACAGCAAAGTTTTGTCAGGTCAAGCTCACCTTTAGTTCAGAGTATGCAAATTTTATTTTAAGGTCAATTTAACTCCCAATGCTGCAACATGCCAGATTGAATATGCACCCTCTAAGCACGTTTGGTAAGTAAAAAAAAATTTTCGAGCAAGTCAGCAGAGCAAACGGCCTAGGCGTACCTGAGTCCTGGACAAGCCATTGATCTCAAACACCACCAGCTCGCGGTACTTGACAGCCTCCCTGGGGTAGAAGGTCAGCTGGACATCTCGGCTGTCCCCAGGCTGCAAGACGCAGGCTGAGAACTGTACCTCCAGGTGGGAGGTACTGGTGTACAGACAGTCAATGCTGAAGGGGCGAACAAGAACCAATTCAGGTCATCTGCATCGATTTTGGTTTTAAAATTTAGCCATACATTTTGTTTCCTGTTACTGAGAGTAGCCATATCGTTTTGTGGGTTCAAGCAGACGTTGAATGCCCTCTTTACAGAAGCAGGTTTACTCATCTGACTTTTGACCCACTTCAGCCCAAATGTATAATTTGGAGCTGGGCTAAAATGTAGCACAATATGCATAATGCTATTGGCTATGTGCGTGAAGTGGCCCTGTAGTGGCGAAAACGTAAACTCTATCGCACAGGTTAATAAAGCACTCAACTGGTTGTATCTACATTTGCTCGAGCGAGTATTCGTCTCACGTAAACACAAGTGTACGCTTCATAACGTAGCCAAGTAGTGTGCCAACCAAAAAAGTATCCTAACAGGGGACACAAGAATATTGTGCGCGGCGCCCTCAACTGATCCTGCCCAGACCCAATAAACACCCCAAACGCGTGCCTTTAACAACTACTCATCTCGAGCAAATCGCCTCCCTGTTAAATCCCTGATCCTTCCTTACCTGATGGCCTTGGCGTCCCTGTTGGTCACTGTCAGCACGTTGGACAGGGGCGGCATGCCAGCCCGGTGGATGAAGCAGGGCCCGAAGTCGTACTTGGTGAAGGAGAAGTGGAGCCCCGGGGCCACACCCTGACCAGCCAGGACGATCTGGTAGGTGGGACCGTTGGTCACCTGATAGGGTTGGGGGGGGGTCAAGTCAGTGGAAACAGATTTAAACTTCCTTTTTTAATGAAAGACTACTATTGTGGTTTTCTTTTTGGGAGGGGGGGAATATGATTGGTTGATGTCTTAATTTTGTATAACACTGGAAAGATCACCAAAGTACACTCGCATGACCTGTTCTAATTTTTTTTGGGGGGGGGAACTTAAGTCGTGTAACAGCAATGTCTTGATGATCAGAAGCGATAACCAAACAAGTGACAACCAAACACAGCTGGGTATATTCGGCTTCATGATCAAAAGTAAATTGAGGTAAACCGTCCTGCTCGAGAACAAAGAATTGTGATTTACTGGTAGGATTCAAGTCCACACTGTACAGACTGCCTCCAAAATTTCTCAGCAAGTTCGAAATCACTGGACTATCATTCAAGGGTTTCACTCTGATGTCTGAAATTGACTGTTTCCCTTTCATTGTCGTTTACAAGGTTTACAGGGCACAGTTCTCTTTGGAGAAAAACTAAACTAAAACTAAACACAAGTTAGTTGCAAGTTTGGTTTGAAACCTTACAGCTGCCGCAGCACATACCTTGAGCAAGAGCTCGCAGCCTCGCAGGGAGGTCTTCTGGGGTGGCTTGAACGCCAGTACGCAGCGTTTGCGGTCGTTGCAGGGCACCAAGCCGGTCTCGGGCGAGATGGTGACCATCTTGATTGTTTTGCCGGCTCGCTCCTTCATGGTCCACTCAAAGTCAAAGTTGAACTTGCCGGAGTTGACGATGAAGATGGACCGCACGGCCTTCTCGTTCACTTCCACCTTGATGACGGAGAAGATGAAATAAACAATAACAATTTCTTTAAATACACAATTTTTTTCAAGGAATTTAATTGGTAAGAACACCGAGATTGCTTTTCACAAAAGCTGAAAGTTATTCAAAAGTGTTCAGAGGTGACTATATTTGAAAATAGAAAAACATTTAAAATGTATGACCCGTCATGACAAAATGAGCGTAAAGTCACATCTCGCTCTTTCCTACTTTGAGGGTTCAAAGTCATATTAAAATGGAGGTCAATGTGGGGGTTTGGTCATATTTGGAAAGAGTAACCCGTTTCCTATTTAATTCCAAATATTTCGCAGGATCATATATTTAGAAATGTCCTTTTCTCGGTAATTTTGACGATAGCATTATTCGTGCCTGGTCTGAAATGTTGAAACAATGTCAGGAACAAAGACGCAAAGCTGCCAGAATAATGTCACACTGTCACCTTGTACTTTTACCCTAAGTGTTCCACGTACGTACCACTGGAAAGCTCTCTTTCTGCTGATATCATATATACCAATATCTCAATGTTCGAAAAATTCTTACTTTCAGCTCATTTTGTGGTGAGAGGTCTCATATATTTCACAATTTTTATAAGGAGCAAAGGGGTTTAAGTGTTTAAAGACAGTGGAATGCGTTGCAATGGTTGATACACTCTGTCTCGTACATACTAAAAATATATGTTTTCAATATTGCTAACACAAATCACCAAAATTAAGTTCACTCAATGGCTATTAGCCGAGTCAGGGTTACAGGAATAATTTATTTCAGAGAAACGTTTTTCTTCGCTTTCAACAAAGCCATGTCAGCCCGGCCCACGGACTTCACAGCCAAGGTGGACTCACCTCCCCAAAGTTGATTTCGTTGATGCCCCTGGACGACAGGGGGATGTTCTTGCCTGTCGAGTCCTCGCACAGCACCTTGGCGTTCATGGAGTAGCCCTCCGCCTTGACGTTCAGGTAGATGGGCAGCGTCTTCTTCTTGACGTTGATCTCTACGTTGAAGTTGACGACCTTCTCCTTGCGAGGGGTGAAGGAGACGTCAATGGGAATCCTGAAATAATGGGTACAACAGATTTGTTACAAGAAGATTTTATTCAGTTGATTTCTACCCCAAATAAAGACACTGGCAATTTCATGACACACGCCACACAAATGGAGATTTCTAGTTTGCAAGTCCCAATTCCAGTTGAAATTTTTTGCGTGAATTCAGGACACCATTTGAATCATTGGTACATCCAGAACTCCCCCCCCCGACATGTTCACCATTTTTTAGCTTTAGGACATAACTTTTTCTCTTTAATAGTTGAAAGCATCAGCACGTAGAAATGATACCATCAACTTTCTTTGGTGATGGGGGGGTTCTTTTACAAATGAAAAGAAATTAGACAGTCATTCGGGAAAACAATTCAAATTTGCCACTTGTATTCCGACAACAATCACGCTTCCTTCCGCAATTTCTGCGGCTGGTTGCAACGTAGCCAGAGGACTGTCTGTGGGGTGTCCATTTTGGACACCTCGTTTTGTTACACAAGTTCCAGAACAAAAACCTCCGTAACTTGGATGCCCGGTTTTTCACTTCAAAACAGACAGGGGCAACTCATTTCGAAATGCTTGCTAAAAAGAAAAACCCTGGCCAGTGGTCAAACACAGTTGATCTCCTGTCTTTGACTGAGCTTTAATGCTTTTACAACACTGCTCTTCGGTGAGCAAAATGGACTAACTTAAGCAAACGAGGGGGTAAATCTAGCCGATATCAAAGTCTATGCATTCTGAAACTAAAAACAAATAACGGTGGTGATTTTGTTTTACCTGCCAAATGGGGGCACCACACCGCCCTTGGGTGCGACATCCAATTCTGAAGAGAAGGCCTCCGAGTGACACGATGCCTCCGAGATGTCAAAGGTGAAAGGTCGACTCTCGTTATTGATGAGGTGAACCCTCTCACTGGCCATGTTACCTGCAATGGCAAACAAATAAATATGGTTGCAAATAACATTGATTTTATATACAAATCCTGTGCAGTTAGCCCTGGCAGTTCCCTGCCATCAATGTGTAAAGCACCACGAAATGTGGAATAAAAACTACCGTTTTCTTTTTGAAAGGCAAAATATTGACATCTCGTTCAAAGACAAATGGGGTTGAAGTCACACAGTAACTAGAAGGTGAAAAAAAAACATGATTTTTACTTCTGAAATATTTGCAGTGAAGTAGGTGGCCGAGTACTACAGTCATCAAAAGTGCTTTCACTTCAAACAGTGAAAAAAAGGAATGTTTGAACCACAGTTCATGCTTGAGTTGCCTGTAGCTCGCTTTATGACTACTCACGAGTAAGAACTCATCAGGCAGGTGTGAAGTCCTAGTGGATTACATGACAACAGCACTGCCGGGAGATCTGATTGGGGGCATTAAACAATTCAACTTAGATGGAAGGTAAGGGAAGGAACTCAGATGCAGCAAATGGACTCACCGAGGAGCAGTGACTTGAAGTTGATGTGGGAGCGGTCGGTGGCCACGGCCGGCTCCCTGGCATCGCCCACCAGGAGGAAGGGCACCAGGATGTTCTGTTCGGGGATGGTGAAGCGCCAGAAGGACTCCACGATGCCCAGCTGGGAAGGGGTGAACTCAAAAGTGATCTGGAGTGCAAAGAAGAAGGCAACAGGGACTTTACTCGGTTTGACTCGGACGGGAACGAGCTCGGTGCTTACTCAAATGGGAATGGAGGTTGGTGATGTGGACATTCTTCCTGACCTTTCATCTTTGTGGCCCAGGTTCGACTCCTGGTTTAGTCCGCGTGTGAGTTGGGCTTTTGAGTCCTTCACTCTGTGAACTCAAGACCTGTGCATACAGGTTCAGGTTTTGCATGGTCTGCGCTGAGTGTGTGAGGCAGATTTCTGTTGATATGTACATTCTTTGTGTGCGCGCGGGTCGCATGCACGATGCAGGTTCAAAAGTTTCCACCAGCTTGTCTACTCTTTGCAAGCAAGGGCGCTGCTTCTTGTCACGGCAGATTAATTACCTCGGTCTTCTTGCCCGGCGCAACGAACCCTTTAGCAGTCAGGCAGCTGAACTGCTTGACCTCCTTGGGGTCCTCCTCGTCCTCGCAGGTCCAGACGAAGGAGTAGTGGGCGTTGGTGGGGTTGACGATGTAGAAGCTGCGCCGGTTGTGCACCTGTATACCGACAGAGCCAAACTCGATCACCCGGGTGTTGGGGTCCAGGGTGGCACCGGGCGGTGCCCCGCCGGGCCCCCGCAGCTCCGGGTTACGGCGGGACCCGGTGATGTAGTCAGAGTCCTCCAGCTCAAAGTGGCAGTAGGGCATGAGGCTTCGGCCGCGGACAGAGATGACGGGTCCCTGTTTGCCCTCTTCAAGATTTGGTATCCTATGACAAACACGAAATAAAATTACTTTTTTTCAGCCACAGCAATTTCAAATCGTAAACTTCTATAATTCTAACACTTATTGACCACTGTAAAAAAAGTCTCAAAATGAAAAAAAAATGCAAGAATATAAGAATTTAAGGGAATTTAACTTTTCTCTAATAGTCACAGTTTTACTCAAAGTAACTTTGTAAGTAAACATTTCACTTTCAAACAAGAAAATATCTTCACAAAATCTGATCAAATGTACGTCTCGAAGCGCGCAAATGTTGTCACGAAGTAGAATAGCCTCTTTGCTAGTTCGCAGAGACCAAATTTGAAAAACTGCCAAAGTAAACAGAAAAGTTCTCTAGCCCACCTGCAGATGATGCGCCCCTCAAAGTCCTGCATGTCCAGTGGCGAGAACTTGACCACAAAGCTCTGCTTCTTGCCCACGCCCACCGTGCCCGCCTCGGGTGTGATGGCAAAGGGGGAGACGTCGGCCAGCAGTTCGGCGCCGCTGAGTGCCGTGCTGCAGCGGGAGGGCAGCCGCAGCTGGTCCTCGTCGGCGAAGCTGACCGACTTGCGTCGGAGAACCTCCTCCTCCATCACCACCTGCCAGTTGTAGGAGAGCTGGACCAAGCCCTTGTTGGTCAGTTGGAACCTACAAAGGGGGGTAGAGGGGGTGTAAGACGGTTCATGACAAGGGTTGTCCAAAACGTAACAACGGTCATTTGCAAAAGTTTAGGAACACCCATACAAAATGCATTCACCCGAAGAAAAACCAAATTTCAACCGAGTAATCAGAGATATTATGTTCATTTCCAATGTGTAGCCTTGGCTGAACGGCTATATGACAACATCTCCGTGATTTGGAACGTTAACTGTCTAATCGTCAGTGTTTCCTCTTCCGTTTCTGATGGCTTTCTTACCCATATTCCATTACAGAAAAAATGTCGCACGAGACCTGCCTTTTGCAAAAACTTTCATTCAAATGGGCTCATGGTGCAACTCTGACATGCCTGATGCTATGGACCCCTGTACAATAATGTTATGTAGTCATTCAATGAGAGAATGTTTTGCAGGCCCAGTGACGGAAACACCAACGAAATTTCAGGGGGTCTTAAACTTTTGCAAATGACTGTAGACGGACAGATTAAATGAAGAAACGTGGTTGGATTTAAAATGTCAGCTTTTTCATCAGCTTCTAAAATCCTGTTTCATGAATCTGGGTCCCCGAGTTGAATCACAAAGACTAGTCACTCAGGCACTTCAAGATTGTTAGTACGGTGGCAATTGCTGCGTAAAAAGGCATTATTAGCTCAAATTGCCTATTGAGAGGCCCAAGTTTTGAGTGGTTTGCATTTGGGTCCGACAGTAAACATTTGGGATCAATTGGGGAACAAGATATGAAACCAATGACCAGACATGAAACCAGGTTTGGGAAGAAATGGCCACGGTTGAGCATGAGACACCTCAGATGCAACCTGTTACGTGGGGTACCATGTCTGGATGAACTTACGAGAACTGTCTGGTCTGGAACATGAGCGTGTCCTTGAAGTGGATGGAGTCTGTCTTGCACTTGTACTTGGCGTAGTCGGCGTTGGCACTGACTCGCAGCTCAACGTCGCGGCCGGTGTCCTCTAGGGGCGTGTGTGTCGGCTCGGGCTCGGTCTCAATAACCTGCAGGAATTTTAACGAAAAAGGATTAGTTATTTTTCAACGTTTTCATTTCTACATGCAACACATTTCCTTTAACAAAACATCAGATATCTAAAATAATAGAAATAGACGTTTGCATAAATGATAACAAAAATGGGTTACCAGCCAAACTGTAATGCAATCAATGTTTTTCCCTGACTGGTCCTCAGCTAGAACTGGCTTAGCACAAAAGTTTCCTAAGCAATATTTCCACTTTATGTAAATTATGCCCTGGCCACATGATGTTATCAACAGGTTCAAAAACCACAACTAGGAGGATGTTTTCTCTTGAGATCCTCATCATCAAAGGACCTTGCCTTCTTTTTGGACGGGCGGGGCACCTCGGCCGCCAGCTCCCCGGCTGCGATCTTCCGTCGGATCTCCTCCTCTGTCTTCTCCTTGTCCATCAGCTCGGTGGCCGCCTCCTTGGCCGCCGCCGCCTCTTTCTCCTTGGCCCCGCCCTTGCGGTGCTCCTTCTTGGCTTCCTTCTCCTCTTTCTTGGCGTCCTGGTTGGATTTGGGCCGGGCAGCCGAGGCCTCGCCCGAGGTCGGTGGTCGCAGGAGGGCGGCCACAGGGATGTCCACCCACTTGACGGTGCGCATTCTGTCATCCCAGTCTGCCACCTGCAAGTCAAACAACGCTAAAGTACTTTTCACCGGATCCCGCAAAACGGACATCTTTGACGTCTTTCTTTTACTAGTCGTTTTGTTTCAGTTTGCATCAGAAACAGCAAACAATAAGCCCTTTGTTTTAAGGCATCCGTCTCACTTTGACAATTTGATGAATATGGACATTCAATGGGTGAAATATCGGCATTTTTCTGACCTGATCCACCGGCTTATCGAAGGAGATCTTGCAGACTTTGCAGCTGACGACGGAATCCTGCAGGTTCACCGCCTCGTCCGTCTTGAACGTGACGGAGATGTCCTTGGACAGCCCGCCGTGCAGGTGGCCCGCGGAGGGTGAGAACTTGAGCTGCGGGTGCTCAGGCCACTGGAAGCGCACCGTGTCAGCCGGGCTGTGATTGGTCATCGTGAAGGTGAGCTGGTAGGACTCGCCCACGTGGCAGTCGCCAAACTGGATGTGATTGGAGGGCATGGCTGAAACCGGGAAAAAGTGTCGGGAAAATATTTTAAAAGAGTTTAATATGCAAATGTTAACTTACTCTGAACTTTACAATCATGACAAAAATTCTTGCTGGTCCATTAATCATCACATTACACTTTCTATCTTTGATATTTACCGGGTGAACACACGAGGATCCATTCGCAGATCATAACTGTACATGCACAGTAGCTAACGAGCCTGCTACGAACCTTTCAGGGTAAGGGTCTACCGTGATACATCACAGCATAGGCCAAGTTCAATTGTTGAAGTCATTTGTTAACATGGGTTAACAATTCTGCACTGTATTCCTGACGGGAAAAAATACCTTCCCGGGTACCAGCCCAAACACTGACCAGTGGTCGGCAAACGGCAGCCGGTCAAACTCTGGCCGCATACCTGAGACTTGGTTGTCATCCCCCAGGAACTGCTCCACGCTCTCCTCGGCCGGCAGGCTATGGATGTTGTCCAGGGTGATCTCGTCCTGGTAGCCCTCGCCCACCAGCTGGATGGCCCGGTCCTCGTACTGGTTGTCCACCACCGTCACCCGGACCGAGCCCTCGCAGCGCCCGGCCGCATCCGGCCGGAGGACCACTTGGAAGGTGGCCTCCTCGCCCACGCCCACGATGATGGAGGCGGTGTGGGGGTGGCGGACTGGCTCCTCCCCATCATCTGTGGGAAGAAGTGGAGACAGGAGTATACTCAGACTGTAATTTGTGTACAAGTTCAGGGATGCTGAACAGTTTATTTCCAAAATAAGAGTCCATCATCTGTGAATGCACGGAACTACTCAGAATTATGAGAATTCAACAAACCATTGATGTATGACTGGATGTCCGTCTGCATTGGGTAAATAAGCTTCGTGTCTTCAGAGCTCTGCAGGCTGTACACCCCGCTGGGATCATTCAAATCAATATCAACCTGAGAGACAAACATTAAAAAAGAATTAATTCTATTACACTTCACTGGAAAGAAAGTTGAGCCTTTATCTTTTAAATCATGATAAAATGTACAGATTCAAACCATCAGAGATTTGGTGTTTCAATCGGGATGACGTTAGTTTTAGCATTGGGACACGAAGGATTGCTGTAGGGAGACAGGTGATAGCTGTTGGTACAACCACACAAGAGAAAGTCACTGTTTTCCAGCTGAGCAGCGGAAAAATAATGAAGAAAAGATTAAGGACTATACACACAAAAATTAGTATCTGCAGTCAGACCACAAGTTTTTAGTTTTCATTAAATGTTGAGGGCAAAAAAAAGGAAAAAAGGTCTGCAGGACCTATTAGTTTGGCCTAATTTTTAATTCAATACGGGGGACTCACAACATACCGCGCCACCCACAGGCTGTTGCTGAGAAGCTTGTTTTTTTAAATGCATTTGGGAAACGGTCAACAAATTTATCTTGCCGGCTGTGCCCAGGGAACTTGAATTGTTCTCTGTGTTTGTCCAGGTAGAAGACTCCCAAGCGTATTTTCTGCCAACTTCTCTCTTGTTTTTTTCCCTTGCGAGGTACGCCCCAATCGAGCAAGAAATTTATCAAGTTGCCCACCTGACTCAAAATAAGATAACGACCTTGTTTTTGTCAACTGTAAATTGAGGAAAATGGTCTCTCTGCAGCAGCCCCCCCTTTGTGGCACTGAGCCGTGAACCGCCCCCATCTTACCTTGCTGGGTAGCGTGCCGTCGTTCTTCAGGCACAGCGGCAATGTCTGCGTGGTCCCCAGCAGCAGTCGCTTGAACAGCAGCAGGGGGCTGCCCTTCTTGTTGCGGATGGATGGCTTCTGTACCGAGACGCGGGGCAGGTTACCCTCTCCCTGGACCTCAAAAGACAGGTTTTTCTGCTTGGCCTGAGGGCCGGACAGGCCGTCCAAGATGACCTCAAACTGACCAGTGTAAGTCTGGACGTAAAGGACAGATCGTTTCCATTAGTTTTAAACGTGTAAACAACTGACACTTTTCAGTAAAATCTCCGACGAAGAATGCTGAAGTGAACTCTATTTTGGAGAAACCAATTTTTAAAAAAAGCAAATTTATGGGGATTTTTTCTAAATACCATTCATAAATTGTACATTTTTTAGGGCCCACTGCCTCTCCACTGCGGAATTTTATGATAACTACTTGGGTAGCCGCATGTCGTAGCTACAAAAACAATTGGGATTTGACACAACCTCCTTCACTACCAAACTCATACCACTTTACCACAGCGCTGAATAACCCCTCACCTAACATCTTCGTGAATACAGTCGTTTGTTTGGGCAGATACTGTGACACTGGTTAAACAAAATTACTTGAATGATACAAGACAACTCAAGTTTATCTACCTTGAACAACATTTACCAAGTTCTACAGCTCTTTCGGAATCTTCAATGCACTCAATGCAAATAAGCCACTTGCGAGTTAAATTTGAATAAAATCTGGTACCCTGTGTTATCTGATTGCACAGAAACGTAGCAATTTGAATTCCCCAGACTAAAGACACTGTTGCTATAACCCCGTGATTCGGGGCAAGCTTTTGCATAGTGACCACCATCTCTGGAATGGACTGGTTCCTTTGTGCCGTTCTTATCCATTGAGAACAGTGTATTGTTGCAAGGCGTCTCTTGTGTAACCAAGCAAAAGCTTGCCCCAATCACGAGGTATAGCAACAGTGGTTTTAGTATGGAGAATTCAAGTTGTTATGTTCACGTGAATTTAAAGAACTCAGTGTACCAGATTTTATTCAAATTTAACTCGCAAATGGCTTATTGGACAAATCTGTATGACTCACAAATTCAAAGAGATTTTAGACTGAGAGTGGATTTCAGGCGCAGAGAGAGCCCTAATACCTGCATCGAGGGTGGGCCAAAGGTGACCGTGGCGTAGGCGTGACTGTGAGCCGGGATGGATGCTCTGGACGGCTCCACCTCAAAGATATCCTGGAGCTTGGAGGAGGGCTTGGAGGTAACAAGCTTGCAGGAGAAGATGACGTCGCAAGACACCTGGGATGAGAGGAGACGACGGAAGATGAAAACGCCATTCAGGTGTCTGTTCTCACTACCATTGGTAGCTCAAGGCTGTGACTGCGGCTGGGACTCACACATGTGTCTATGGGAAGTAGGTGCAGCCGTCAGCAAGTGGCTAGCCATGGACCACCATGCTATACACAGCCACAGCCATAAACTCAGACTAAGGGCCAATTTCCAAATATGCCAAGCTGCAAGAGGCATTTTGCTAAGCAAAACCGATTACTAGCCCCAAATGCTATGTACTATACTGACTGACTGGCTCTCAGCTGCTTTCCGGTAAACATGGAATTTCCACTAAGCGATGTTTTCTCCTTACTGAAGAATCAAGCAAAACATCTTTAAATTCGTTGAATCCAATTAAATACCTCCACTCAAGATGCCCTTAGAAGGCCAGCTGATAATACTGTTCTAAATTTATATTCATCAAATTTTCTTTTTCCCAGGGAGGCAAGTGCCTCCCTCCCCTCTATGATGCCTACGAAGACACACTCAACCGACGACCAACAGCCCCGAAGACATCACCGGCCATGACCACAAAAACAAAATAAACGACCCGATAAACAAAACCACATTCACCTTATTGGCGTTGGAGATCTTGAAGCGCGCCTTGACCTTGCGGCCCACCAGCACGTGGCCGAAGATGAACTTGTTCTGGTCCTCGCCGTACACCCCGCCCCCGCCCAGCTCCAGGTGGTGGCTGTTGAGGAAGACGCTCAGGTTGCGCACCACCCGGTGCTCCTCGAAGATGGAGGCCAGGTCGGTCAGGTTGATGCCCGGGCTGCAGGCCTCAGCCAGGATCTTGTAGGGGATGCCCTGGGGGTGGTCGGCCGGGTCGCGGTCCGTGATCTCGATAGCCAGGTCCTGGAGGGAGAACATTTTTTTCGGTTTGATTTGTTTTGTCGGGTCAATCATCACTGTCTGTCCGGAAACGGACGTGTCTTCCTCAAATTTTAAGTCCGCGGGACGCTCGATGCTCTGTGAGAGTGAACAGATCTCTACAAGGGGGCAACCGTCTTGCTCTTCTACCATTCAAAGCAATGCAACCAAACTGAGGCTGGAAGGAGAAATAGTCTGCTCCCTTTTATCGATATCTGAAGTTGAGTTACTACTGCCAATGGGCCTACAGGGAACAAGCCAAAAATGGCAGCATCGTGATAAAGCAGCAGTACTGTGGTAGCCACAGAATTACTCCTGCATTCTTTAACTTGAGAAGTACACAGTTAGACAAGAAGCTATTCCTGAATAGCCAGATGTAGCGGAACCCCCCCCCAAGTAATGAGGACTGAGCTCTTTGTTTTACTGTATGACTCAGTTTGGCATACTCAGATGTAAAATGAACCTTATGTGAGTAAACAATGTCAGGGGTACCTATTTATTTATGTTGGCAAAGATCCTCTGACAGCCCATTATCTCAAGCGTGGCTCTGCTAACTCTTGACATGTTTTGCATGAGGTCGGATCCAATATTTTTTCTTCTCTCAATAAAAGTGGCGCCATAATCACAGGCCACGGCCTCGGCTAAACGTTAATGATAGTCCAACGTTTGTCACAAAGCCAACACTGACCTCGTCTCCCTTTCCGGTGCTCTCCGGCAGGCACTCCACCTGGATGACCTGCTGGTTGTTGGGGTAGACCACGCCGTAGGCCGGGTAGACGGTGAACATGCCCAGCTGCAGCCTGGTGGTGCTTCCTCCCCCGCCGCCTCCCCCACCCCCACCGGCGCCCATGTCTTGCCTAGCGGACGGGGAGAGAGGGACATTGGATCTTTAGGTTTTGTCTCCGCTCAAGGAGTTTAACTCACAGCTTACTTCGATTAGGACCACAAAAAAAAAGTTAACCATTTTTTTTTTTGTTTTAGGACACAGGTTCGTAAGAGAGTCATTTTGATGTCTGTCTACTGCTCTCGTCCCCAAAACGGAAACAACATTTTTCTATTGTTGTGGGAGACTGAGATAGCTTGAGGTCTAACACAGAAACATCGAAAGTTAGGGTTGGGTTGCCCGGGGTAGGGGTCATAGGTCGAGATACTTTTATACACAAGCATTGGAAAAAATCTTTGCAAAAGCCTATTTGGGTTTTTTATGTCCTGATATTGAAGAGGTTCTTGTTTTTGCTCCGTGTTCCATTTCCTGGGAACTAATTTTTCTCTGTAATTTTAGAGTTTGTGTCATTCGTTTTTTATACTTCAGGCACACAACTTGGACTTTGACAAAAAAACGAGGATATCCAATTTTTACAAGACTTTGTGGAGTATTTTTCCATTTTCAGTGGCACGAGTGTGACGTGAAAAACCAGGAAATCAGCTGATCCAAGGAAAAGCTGCAGGCCTGATACTGCCAAAGATCTCCACTGGTGCATACACTGTCGGTGAGGATGGAAAGCACTGCACGTGAAGTGTGAAGGAAGAAAATACCTCAACTGCCAGCCTGAGTCATTTTGGTATATTCACAGAAAGAAAGAGGGCAAATATTTCTGTTTACTTTGATAATATCAAGATTTACTCTCCAAATTCACAATATTCACTCAACGGTGCATTTCTGCTGTTGTAAAGAATTCTGCGTGCACAATGAGAAAGAAACAGCGTGCCCAGCTCCTCTTTATCTGACACAATAAAAATCCTTCTTGCAAGAAAGTGCAACTGCTCATTGCAAAGTGATGCTGTAGGTAGGTTCTCTTTTAGAAGTAACGTTCCTCTATGATTTGCGTATAAGGAAAATGCAGTGCAGGTGTTGACGGTAATGTGATACATATTTTTAACTTTGCCACCAAGGACAGCAATGCCAAAAAACCAAGCTAAATTGCAAATATTGTGCCAAAAATAAAAACACAGAAAAAAAGGCATTATTACCTGGTTGAAAGCCTGTCAGTTTCATAAATGGTGACAAATGATAAAAAAAGTGGGCGTTATGCTGTTATGCCAATTCATTTTGCCTCACATGAAATTATTAAATCAAACATCAGTAATGAGAACTTCAACATGGAAAGGCTCGGATGACTCCAAGTGACTTACCTCATAGAGTCGGCTCTCTTGGGTTTGGCCACAGAGCGACCTGAGCTGGAGCCATCCCTGGACTTACTGCGCTTATTGCCTCCTCCGGGCCTATGTGTGAAAAAGGACACCCGCATCTTATGAGCAGGATAGAGTGCCAAAGTGGATACGTCGAGCGCACAATTTTGTGCGTAAATGGCGTTAGTGTGACAACCAGCACCTGAATCAACACGCGCCCGTGCTCCATTTGTTTGCACTACACATTCTGGTTTAAAATGACGTCGCACTTAAGTATTCTAAATGTTAAATCACAAGGTGCCGATCGATTATCTTTGACAAGTCACACAAAAATCTCTACTCAGAGACAATTTTAAGTCAATTCAATTCAGTTAACATGTAAACAAGTGTTATCTCAAAAAGATGTTAAAACACAGCATGTGACAGTGAGACTGTTGTGACTGACTGGTTTATGTCACTTCTGGTCAAAACGCCTCTCGGGCGCCTCTCGTGAAAAGGGCAAAACGCCTTCAGATATCCCCAAGCATGTGCAGTGCGTCAATGATCAACTCCGTTCATCTTCATGAGGTGAGGGCGGGGGAACAGGGGGATAGGAATGGGAATATGGAAGTAGAGAGATGGATTTTAGCTGGAAGTATGCTCTAGGTGAGGTCTATTGCGTGCGGTGCAGCCCTAGCCGTGCGAGGTACAGTGGTCTCAGCGGACAAGTGCAACTTTGATCACCAAAGGAGAGAATTTTCCAGAACTTTCCAGCTTCACTTTTTCGTGGCAAGCGAGGCTGGGTTAGCAAAGGGGTGAAGGTGCCGGTACGGTGTCGGTGACATTCCTTTTAGGCGTTACCTCAGGAACTGGAAGGATGCCTTTGAAGCACGAGATCCGCTACAAGACGGCAAGCCAGCAAGGGAAGGATTTATAGCAAGAATGAACACAAATGAGCTGTCTTGATAACTGATAACATTGGTCAGGGATTCTAACAAGATTTTAATAACAAGTGTGAAATGAATAGATTTTGGACATCGGAGGGCAACTTTACATCAAATACAGCAAAGCAAAGCAAGTGTTCAATTAAATTGGCAGGAAAGCATGAATTCTGCTCGTGGAAAGTCTTGAAAATATCATTCAATCTGAAGGCAGGAACTTGCAAAGAGCAGCCAAGTGAGCAATGATTGGAACAGCAAGCTGGATATAAAGTAATGCAAATCAGAGCAACGACATACAGAATGCAGAAGAAACAACAGCATGACAGAACCACAGTGACGCGAGCCATAAGAAGTCAGCAGGAAAAAAAGCAGTAAGTTGACAGAAGAATAAACACTTTTTGTCACGTCAAAGCAACCAGCTGACAACTTCCAAGGTACTAGACAAGCCTACATCTGTGTCATGATACTGAAATTGTTTTAGAGTCAATTTCCGAGACTGAGTGCATTTTTACACATTGACAACTGAGACTTCCCAAACTTGCTTATCCAGAGAAGTCAAAAGGGGACGAGAAGGTGTGCGGTACTCACACTCTCCCCCTGAGCAGGGGCTGGACGGGCTGGGTGTCCCGGCTCATCCGGTTGACGTTGTACTTGAAGTCAAACTCCCCCTTGTTCTCGATGATGAAGGAGCGGGTGCGGCGATGGCTGACCAGCACGGCGCCGAAGTTGATGTCGCTGACCGGGTAGACGTTGTACTTGCTGAAGATGCTGCGCACGCCCAACTTGACGGGGATGCTGGCGATGGTCTCCCCGCCATCCGAGATGTTGGGCTCGATCACCTGGGTTGGGGGGAGGAAATGAGTTGGTTGAAGGGGGGGCCCAAAAAATCTGGGATTTGGGTAATTTGGTAAATGCTCTCGGAGGGATGTGTGCCTCATTCTTGTTTGAACTGTTCCATCATCAGGTGTATTATCCAGAAATGGTGCGACAGGTACTGACACTTCCTCATGAATATTCATACATACTTGGCACTTCAGGATTGGCTGGTCCCTGATGGTGACCTCCTTGCGCGACCTGAAGATGACCTGGACCTGCGTGGGCCGATCGTTGGGCACCAAGACTCCCTTCTGGGGAATGACTGAGAACAGGTTGATGATCTCCTGGCCGCAGGCTTCCGTGGTCTCAAAATTGAAACTGCAAGTTTGGAACACAGAGACAAACAATCTGGATTTAAAACACGGCCATGTGCTGCCTTGTAAAAGTGTGATCGACAATTCTTGATGAAGTTTATGAGCACTGCTTGGCTTTAACAAAATTAGCCAAGATAGAAACCACTCCTCCGCATTCATGCAGAGTTAATGGTGTTTATGTTAAGCCCTCTTTAAGAGCGTGTAAGAAAAAGTCCACATTTGCTCGTGTTACCATAGCCACTTATAATGGTGCAGAAAACTTCACTTCAGTGGTGAACTAGCAAAGGCTGACGAGCCAGTTCTAATCTGCCGTGGGAAAGGTTATTGCCGTGAATTACAAATGACAACTTTTCGCCTTCAAATAAGTACCATTATTAACCACTTGACGCCGGATTATTTGTTCCACGGAGGATGTGTTCACTTGTTTTGAGAATTCTTTTGTCACTTCAACGGTTAACTTATTAACACGTCACGCTTGGTTGGGTCAAAGTGCAATTGTAAGGTTGAAGAAATTACGGGTAAAAAAAACTGCCCCCAGCAGCAGCCCTTTCAGATAAAAAAATCTGACAGTAACTGGTTAACATGGTCTCCCGGGTTCGTTCTTATAGCGAGTGAGCAAAACTTTAACTGGTTGTGTTGCTATTAAGCACAAGAAATATCTACTCAGCAAAAATGGGTTACCAGCCACGAGTAATGATGCGTGTATTGCTCATGACTGGTTCTCTGCCAATTTTTGCTCAGCACAAACACTGGCTGAGCAGGAAAAATGGGTCATGTTCATTACACAAGCTTGGAGAACTTTCCCACCTGAAAGCGATCTCGTATCGGCCCTTGTTCTTGAGGGAGCAGGTCTGCTTAGTCTCGTCCATGACCCGGATGGTGCCAAAGTCCAGCCCGCCATCCGCCCCCTTGGGAAAGCTCATGTCCAGGGCCACGTCGTACGCTTCGGCCAGGACTTGGATGTTCTCGGTCTGCAGGAGACCCATGATGTTCTCCACGTCCGAGACCTGGACGAGAGAACGACAAGTTCGGAATACAGATAAAAGGAAATCAATTAAAGATATCAGAACTTAGAACATGAAATGCTAAAATTAAGCGGTGTTCCACCACTAGAAAATCTGAACTACTTTCCAGAACATTGGAACAATATTTGAGGGTAACTTTGAAAATGAAATTGAGAAAAAATACACAACAGCACAATATTATACAGCATGCCTACCTCAAGTCGGATCATCTTCTTCAGGTTGGTGGGCCTCATGGCCCGGAAGTGGGCGTTCAGCGCAAACTCGGACTTCGGATCGATCACACCCGAGTCCGTGGTGACCGAGAAGTCATCACCGAGGTTCTCCAGGCCGCTCAGGCGCCAGGCCACAGGGAGGAGGGTGCTGTTGCGGAGGTAGATGGTCTTGGTGTCCTTCCTGGAACGTCAAGATAGAAGGGGTGAGGGACGAAGAGTGGATTAAATGCTTCCCAGATTAACCAAACCAAACAAGTTTACAAAGCAAATTTTGGTTATAATTACTGTACAAATTATAATAATAATGGCCATTTATAAAGAGCGACACATATCCACCACGAAGGTGCTCAAAGCACCGTTATTACTATCCTGCACGCTGGGCTCACAACATCTGAACATTCCTGAAACCATCTCAGCACCCTGGGGAGTATACTAACTGATGCAGCCATATCAGACGCCACAACCAAATCTGCCCTCACAGGTACCCATTTACTCCTAGGCGGAGAGAGAGACATCCTAGGCCGCATGCACCCCTGATGGGCTACAACTTGCAAGCAGGCCTAGGCATGGCCATGTGGCTACCTGCATGCACGAAAACGTTCAAATCGACCAGAAGTAGCCCTCTCAAGACCCTTGCCGATCTCTCTCAGCATCGTCCCCCCGGGACTCGAGGGGCAGAGGCGTAGGCGGCGGGGTTTCCCCAGCTCCCACCGACCTGTGCAGCAGGACCTTCTCAAAGTGCAGCTGCTTCTTGTCCAGCTCCAGCTCGGGCCGCACGCCGTAGCAGCTGATCTTGAAGAGGATGGGCTCGGGGTTCTCCTTGACGCAGCAGACGATGCAGTCCTCGAAGAAGCCCTGATTCTTGGGGTAGGACCACACCATCAACTCCTGGACCGACAAGAATATGACATCAAACATTTTAGAACATGGGAGTAATTTTTTTTTATATCCCAGGGTGAATGACAGAAAATGCCGGCACAATAACAATCCAAGTTAGGATTTCAAACAACAACGTATCACTGTTTATATTTCAGGCACGGATCCAAGGCAGGGTGTGGAGAAAGCCGCCTCTCCACTCTGAGACCCCCCAAAACGAGATAAAAAGGGAAAAAAAAATAAATAACTAAAGCGAGTCCTGTATATGATGTTTCCTTATATATAAAACGGCTTTGCCCTTACCCAACGTATACAGTAGTTTTATTATGAAAAGATCAGCAAAGAATAAAACAAAACAGGTAAATAATAATTAATAAAATTAAAATGTACAACTAAGCTGCAAGGCGCATATCAAGCAAAGCGAACGTTTTAGGTTACCGTTTAATATGTTATGTAACCATGCTTTGGGTTAAATGAGAGCATTTACACAGGTAAGTTGTTTCGAAAAATGGAATAAAATTTTAGACCATTTGTTATTTTGTGGTAATCAGAAATTCAAAAACTTCCTTTGAGTAAAATTCATTTTCAACAGGACATGATAAACTTGGAGAGGATTACAAAATGCATGTATAACAATTCCCATATATTTACAATATTCAGAAAAGGTTTATATTATGTTTAAAGTAGAACATATCCTACATATTTTCTGCAACAGAACTTTTTAAAACAGAATGCAGCCACAAACCACTGTACAATCCAGTTAATAATGGAGAATTACTGCTGAGCAAGGCAACTATCATAGCTTTTGCCGGTATGCGCAACACATTTATAGGAACATGTATTTCCTCTTGTGCACATGCTAGGTGTCACCCTGACAAGATGGTACAAGCAAGGTAGAAAACGCTAAACATCGGAGCAGTTTATTGCTTTACGTTCAATTTGGAGAGAGGGGCAAATGAGCGGGTTCATTTGTGCAAAGGTGTTACATGTATGGGGAGTAATCTGTGCCCAACCTAGTGACATAGAAACTGCTTCTATTCTAATGTGTAACAATTCGAGGAATTCCTGGCAATTTTTGGACAGCTTTTGGATGAAACTACTCTGTACGATTTTCTTTTTCCAATCCGATATTACGGATTCTGCAGCTGTTCCCAAAATTACTTCTGTGGGTAAGAGAAGTTAACTTCCGAGGTAAGAGGAAGTATACTTCTGTTGTAAGTTAAAAGTGAATTTCAACTTAATGGATTTCAAAAGAGAAAAAGGAGGGAAAACACTTTAAAAGAAATTGAAAAACAAGAGTTGCTGAAAGAGGCTGGCGATATTTGCAACTGGTAACGGAGTCTATATACATCCACTCCAGTTTTACATAATTTGTATTTTAGGGATAAAAATCACATGGCCAGATGTACTCGTTTCTTTGGTAAGATGCAACAGTAAAGAAATAGTTAGCAAAATAGCATTTATGGGATAGCTCGACACATGGTCTAACACATATTTGGCATGTACTCTCTACACACCAGTTCGTGAGGGGCAGTGAACAAGATAGTTCACTCTGGTGAGACCTACAACTACACTGTGAAACTTTATTATAGCATACTCATGTAAACAGTTTGTACAAAGAATGTTCGAGCTCTGTTTTACAGGGAGATATTCGACTGTCGATTCCTTTTCTAATAAATCTTAGTAACCTTCCTCAATATTGCCCAAGATTCCAAAACATTACAAACTAAATCACAAAATTTCGTCTTTTTTTACTCAAAAAAAAGGAAAAAACAAAACAAAAACAACTTGTGAGCTATACAGCCAATTCTGTATAAAAAATAACTGTTAAACTGGGAATTTCTCAACCTCACCAACGTCCGTCGTCACTTGGTCATCGATTGTGTACTGTATCTTGAACTTGAGTCGAACCTTTTCCTGGTGGGAAAAGTAACAATATTCATTTTCAGTTGATGTCATTCCATTTCCTAAATATGTATGTAGTCATCCGCACCACACATAGGGAAACTGGGCTTTGTGGTGACTGCATCACACTCTGAGGTAAATTCTATGACACTATGGCATCAAAAAATCTACAAATTACAAGAACCAACATTCTTTCAAGTTTCCATCTCATTCAAAACATTTATCAGAACTTGTCAAATTATCCAGTCTGCTTTGAATGATGATACATTAAACATATTCTTTAATCAGTCATATACTAAAATCTCCAATTATAATTAAGTGTAATTTCTTTAAAACTTTTTGAGAAATTTAAAAAAACTAAATTTAAATTCCAACAACAGAACAACTACAAAATAACCTAAAGATCTTTCTTTAGTATTGCAAACGATTCCTAAATTCATGTACTTTACTTTATTTATTATTTAGTTTATTCATGTATTATGTGGCTTGATAATCCTTCAAGGATGTGCTTATTTCAGACTTTAGGGGAATAAAATTTATGGTCTTCGAGATTAATGTGTTAAATTGTAATAAAATATCGGGGTACGTTTTATTGTAGTGGCCTTCTTGATATCAATGTCCACTCTGTGCTTTACATTACTCAAACAGTTGCAGATCATACATCCACTTTATTTCGTTCTTCATGTTATCATGCGGAGCCTGATCTACAAAACTGTTTGGTGCAGGCACATATCTTTGTGGTTCATTATTTTATATACTGTGAGGAATCATTCTCATACCGCAGGCACCTGTAAGTGTATCCTTTAATAGTTGCCAATCAGTGGTTATGGCCAACTTCTCTGCAGAAATTATAGTCCGGTTCCCAGACCTGATGAATCAGAATGTTCTCTTTCAATTTAAATCTCTGGTATCGCCTGCTGACACGTGAAAAATTCCGAAAAATATCAAAAATTTCTTTGAACTTTTTGCCATCAACATTTGGATAGTAATACTGATGGTTGGAAATTTCCGGCTGAGTGGGCTTCCCTTTTCTCACTTTGAAAAATGCAGCACCGCAACTTTGTAAGAGCAAGAAACTTACAGTGCACAGCAGCTTAAATACACTTGTTCATTTATTTTTCGTATGTCACGTCTATTTTCTTGTTTATTTCATACCACTGGATATTGTGAACAGTACATACCAAAAAATGAAATATTCAATGAATTAGCAGCATCGACGGCAATTGTCGTCGATGACCTCAGCTACTGGCGTGATGCCTTTCAAAAATGCCCATTTTCACAGCAACGACTTGCCGTACCTTTCCAGAGCGCTGCCATCATACCCACGAGTCCTGACAAGGCCGGCAGCTGGCAGGCAACGCTGTATTTTTAGAAAGCTTATTTTCATTCTGCGATGTCAAAACGTATGTACGGTGATGACTGTAAATCCACCCGTGTAGTCCCTATTATGTAAGTTACACAGCTACACGCGTAAGTGATTCACTAGAGACAGTGCGCAGTACACGTCAGTTGCTAACTTTCACTGGTGTCTGCATGAACTCAAATTGTCATTTTCAATAGCATTTCCGTGCACGACCAGCATGGCATGGTTTGACTAAACCATTGCACGTGATGTGATTAGGTTCAAGTCTGTACCTAGACCACTGCACTGTTGCCAGCCCACCAAATGCCCTGTCAGATTAAAAGTGTCATGCTCCAACTTCAAGTTCAAGATGCCTTACGTAGGGTGGCTCAAAAATTAAAAAAAGGTCCAACTCAGTGCAGCTGCAACAAAATGCAGCAAACTGGATACATTTCTCGGGTAAGCCATCTTTATTTTCAACAATGTCCCATTAAGCATAATTGCCTTGCTGCCCTATGCAATAATTATACTATTGCCTTAAAGCCATTGGGGAAATCTGAAAATTACCTTGTGCCCTATGCAATAATTGTACTATTGCCTGAAAGCCCTTTGATAGTTCTGAAAACTGCCTTGGTGCCCTGCTTTTTTTATACAAAGTCAAGGCAAAACTTGCCGTGCCCCTTTTTAAGCGGTAGTATCAGGGATGAATTAGCTTACAGAACTGACGATTCTTCCCTGGTAACCCCTAATATGTTGCACTCAGGTATAACTGCACTAACTCTTAAAGCCTTTATTATGAGCAGCTTAGATGGGTTTATTGACAAAGACCACTTTTCAGACAACTTCACGATTTTGCATTCTAATGTCTGCATTTATTTAATATACATTGTACCCAATTTTCTACTGATTTCAGAAGCAAGCTTATCATGAAGCATGTCACCGTGAATGAGGCGTCTTACAGTTCAAAAAGGCAAGATCACTTATACAACAAAGCGGATGAAATCTGTAAACACGTTCAGTGTGTGAGCCTCATATGGTACGGGCGATGGGAACTGACAGTCTCAAATGATTGAAAATACATATTATTTTGAGTGTGCACAGTGGACTGGTGGATATACTGAAATGAATCAACAGATGTTCATTCCCAGGGAATGATCCCTCATCACCGTGGCTTTGCACAGCTTACCTTCTGCGGATTGGCTATCAACATGACTTGGGTGATGGCCGCCGGAGGAAGGATTGGGTTGAACGCAGGCAGGTCTGTGGCTGAGGGAGGCTGCAGCTTGACTCGCATCGTCTGAAAGTGGGAACAGGAGTGGACAGTTGGACCAGCAGGGTTCGAGGATTTGGCACACAATGCTATTCCAAATCAAATGTCAGAATTTTGCCCTTTTCAGGAGACTCTTGATGTGTTCGGTTTTTGGTCAACATCTTTCACAGAATTCAACATCCAAGCATACAAGATGCTAACAGAAAGTCACCTTGTCTGGCAAACATAAAACGTGAAAATTTAAACTCAAAATTGACCAGTTGTCTCCAGGGTAACAGTCATCTAAGCCCACTATTTTTGTTTTAAAAAGTAACAAGTACAGCTTTCACAAATAACATACCGTGGGCATGGCTGATCTATCTATTAATGTTACTTCAAACATGGAAAAACTGTGCCATGAGCCAGTCCATGGTAATTTCACTTTGCCAACTGGGAAAAGAAATCCTCCTAAACATAAGAAACACACTCTTATACCGAACATGGGCCGAGGTATGGAAGCCACTCTTGCCCCAAAGTGTACAACAATTGTGATTTACAGGTAGCTTTTATAGAATGCAAACACTTGTAGCAATCTTTCGGTTTCATCAAGCTGGAAAACCTTGCATTGACAGGACAACAGAAAAGGTAAATGGTGAAGCAGGGAAAGAGTGTGAAGGCCAACATAAGGAGAAAAAAGGCCTGAAACAGAATTTTCCTGACAATTTCTAACAGAAGTAGACAATGTCATGTGACAAATTTCCTGTACCTTTGGTACCGCTGCTTGGAATACAACATTTTTCACAGCTGAAGGATTTGTGCTCATCGTTGAGACAACCAGGACTGTTATGTCTGCTCTTGGGGCATTCTTAGCAAAATGAAACACGGTTTTCATAAAGTTCTTCTCATAGGCCGTAATTGGCGGAATAGTACCTGCAAAGTGAAAGACACAAGGTTACAAAAAGAGCAATGTCTTTTTCAGAATAACATGTGGAAATTACTAATTATTTTGAACTGATTATAAAACATAATCCAATCCTCCCCCAAAACACCAACATAACACTTCATAACCGATGTTTCCCACAGCTACAGAAAGCATTCAAATTGACTTGAAGACTTTTGAGTGTAGATCTCCGAGTTGGAAATAGGTAATCATGAGACAAGTGAAGGGTTTATTTTCACAGCTCTGCTACTTGCAGAATGACATGCTAATAGTTAATCAATTAAACTTTACTGAAACTTTGAACTGCCGTACCAATTCCACGCATGATTCTTAGTTACAAGATATGCACCTGCACAAGTGCTAAACACTTGAGCAGAACCACAACATCTTGGCCCACAGGGAGTAAGGTTTGTATTGCTTCTGCTCAAAACTGTTGAAAGGTCTTTCTTGGGTTAGAAAAAACAATGCCTATAGACTTCTTGCTTGTACTCAGCATTACGTTCTGTGTTCTTGTAGACTGCAATTGAATCTGACAGTGCATGCATGAACACTTATCTGTCACAGTACAGCAATGGTGGCCTGCTGTGCATTCTGAGCAATGTCAAGATAAAAATCACTATCCTCAAATTATAACCTATCATCTTGCCGACAAGATTATACAGCGTACTATATCTGTCATGCTGGGCTGATTACACTTGCGATAACCATGTGGAGCAAGCATGCCATTGAAAGGGAAGCCCAACCTATGAACCACTCACCGGGTTGAACTGTTTCCAATGGCACAAAGACATCGGCTAGTGAGAGAACTGTAGCTGGGGGAGACGTAGCCACAACTGGTGGAACCGTCCCTTGCACTGTGGGTTGGGATGTCCCCTGCACAGTGGATTGTGTTGGGGCAGGGAGTGCTGTTGTCTGTGTTGGGAGAATGGGTTGTGCTGGGGATTGGGCTGGGGGTGATGTCATTGGCTGTGTGATCGACTGCGTGGTTGTCAATGCCTGTTGGGTGGGTGGCGTCAGGCTTGAGAGCTGTGGTCCTGCTGGCTGCGGCTGCTGCTGGCCTGCTGGTTGTGGGGTGGTGACTGGCTGCTGTGTGCTGCCAAATGAAAGGAATTTTTTTCCAAACCTCCCAATACTACACAACAGATCTGGCAAATAACTACTATGCTTAACAAGGTCTTTTCCTTTCTCATCCATGCAACCCACAGAAAGCATTACCTATTACAGAACCATACGTTATGTTCATGTAATGCTGTCTTTTAACAGGTATTGACAGAAAATGATCTGTTTTAAATTGGATGTGTTCACACTGGAAACACCTTGGAAATAACTGAACTTATAGCTGTCAGTGTACTACTCTGTTGTTGAATGTAATGTAACTATAATAACAGCCCAATAAACACCTTGGAAAATTTCTTGAAACCTTCCCAAAAACTCCAAACTCACCTGCGCTGTAACCAATGGCATATTGTTTGCACTTACTTTTCAGTTGGCATTAAACACCTGTTGGAGAATTGGGGACTAGGGAGGACTGCGATGTACATTCCTGAATCCTCCAAAATCCCAAAAAAGCTACAGGTGGATTCTGAGGGTTTTTACAGAATTAAGGTAATACTGAACACATAGGATGAGTTTAAACTGAATAGACAGGCTTTGTACCTAACTGAAGGCTGTTTGACTCCGTTCATCTGCTGTTTCACCATGCTCTTCCCGAGACTCTCCAAATCGGCAAAAGGAGAGTGAGCCATGCCACTTCCTCCCCCTCCTTGCGGTAGCACAGCTCCACCCGCACTGTGCGTTCTGTTGTATGGCGGCAGCCTGACCGCAGGCTGGTTGGTGGTGGGGTGGATCCCTGCAGGTTGAATGGTACCACCCATGGTTCCTATGGGCTGATTGGGGCGGACCACCATGCTGGCAGCGCCGGCTGCGGTGGGTGCAGCCATGACGGGTGCACCCATTCTTGGCTGCAGGGGGTTGCTTGGCTGTTTGAGATCAAAAACTGAGGGACCCTAAAAATATAGCACAAAATAAGAGGCTTGCCAACAACAAACTTTTTCAGACATCCAGGGTTGTGTTTGTACAATCAGACCTGTGACGTAATTGTGTCAAATTTTGCTCACCTCCACAGTAAACAGGTAAACAAAGTGTGGTATCATAGTGTTTAAGTCTATTTGAGTCAGTTCTCTCTCTTTTCAGTGATTTGGATAACATCTCATCACATATAAGTCGGGCCCAGATAAAAAAATGAAGGAATTCAACGAGACACAAGTAAATTGATTTTGGCGATGACTTCTACGTTGCAACCCAGAACTCATCATGGCATCTCAAGATCCAGCCTAATTGATCAAAGATACGCATCCAATTTCACAGCCTACTGTAGCAGAAGGCATTGCCTACCACATTATTGTGTTAACCAAAACAAGGGCAGAGAAACAGTGTCATGTAATACATTTTCCATGATACATGTACTTTGGCTGGTAACCGAGTTCTTTTTCTTTTGTATTTTCAGTGCTCTGCAGTACTCTGAAATTGGCCCATGTACTAATAACTGCAATCAACCTTGGAAGACAGGTCGAAAGGGTTGCCTAGACTAAGTCCAGTCATCATAAAGTAGCTTGTGTTAGATTACCGATAATTACAGTTTAATAGCCACCTTACTTTAATATAAAGTGCTCTTGGTTTCAGTAATGGCAAGCTGCCCTCATATTTAGCTTATATGGGCAGATCACACAACACAGAACCTCTTCAGATCATGCAGTAAGTCCACAGACGCAAGTAGGTAGGCGTAAATGGGTAGACATATTTAATTAACAGATGACAGGCAATCAAAGCTGAACACCACTGGAAGCAATTTTTTTTTAAAGAACATGTCTTCAATGGGGAACTGGGACCCAGAGAATTTGAGAACTCACTGCTTGCTGCTGTTGGATACTGTAGTTGGGCATGCCGGAGGTTGGCACTGGCCCCAGCATACTCTCCAAGGCAATTGGGCTTGTCCTCTGGGTCACAGAGGTCCTTGTGAAGCCCTGCGTGGACTGCGCCAACGGCTGACCGGTGGTACTGTTTGGAAAACCTGGATACGTGCAAGAGGTCGGGAAATGTTCAAAAAATGAGATCTTTTTGTGGGGTGTGAACTACAAGTTGACCACTGTGGTTCTGCACACTTCGTCCAAATATTGGCCTTAGGTACAGTTAAAGAAAATTGCTGAATAGTAAATATACATGTATATTGATCTATTGTGATAAAATTGGTTTCAACACAGCTTGTACATGTAAAATGATATTCAATACGAAATGGACACTGGACCTGCAAAATCTGAAATCAACAAAACTCAACGTACAGAATTCCATAGCCTTGTCTAAGGGCTGTGATTAACTTGGAAACAGCAATAGGTCATTTGTGAATGCTAAGCTTTGGAATTAATTACAAGCAATTAGGACATGCACAATTTTTTAATCCAGTAAACCCATTTTTGGCCGAGAAAATTACTTATCAGGAATCTGCCGCTGCCGGTCGGCGCC